GCTCAATACTTTCTATAGGTACTGTAAGCTTCCTCAGGAGCTGGCTGCACAAAGATAACTGGAGTAGAGGGGGTCCTCTGGTCGGAGTCTTTCTACTCAAATCACACCAGCAGACCATAGTTTGGTACCACTTTTAAAGAAGTTATCAGTTATAAGGGGTTATAAGTCATGGCTTATCCAATCACTGATTATCATTTGGGTTTTAACTCAAGCTCACCACAAGCCTCATGTCTAGTAAGTGGCTTATTAATCAGTAATAACTCATTAATTACAGCCTCAGGTCCCTTTATTAAGGCTGAGTTACAACAAGGTGGTACCAATACTGTTCTGTCTTCTGTGGCTTCTTTAGAGAGTTTATCTTTGTGAAAGCAGCACCTGCTCACCAGTGTTCAGGCTGAACTCAATCCACCGTCAGTTCAACGCAACCGTTACCAACGTTTACGCCAAAAGAAGCGAAATTCGAGACGCAAGCCTGGTTAGAGATACGGAGGTTCAGTGGTTCTTACAGTAAAAACATTACATTGGGTGTGATTTAATCATCAGTATATCTGCTTAAATATTTCTGAGATTCACGCCTCGTTTTCACATCGTGTTCTTTGGCGTCTGTAAATCCGTATAATATGCAAACTGCGCCCCCTGGTGTTCAATGCGAGGGCGTGCTTTTCATTACAGACGGATGGGAACTACTCAGAGGTTTCTATCGTCCAGTTTTATGGATTATGTTCACAAAGCCACTAAAATTGGATCAACAATACATGAAGAGGAACAAATACGGAGGTTTTCCTGCCACATGTCGGGATTTCTATTGATTTGATGGATTTTTATCTATTTATTACTCTTTCCAGAACAAATTTTGTTTATTGGTTTCTCCATTTATTCACTATTCTATTTATTTTTATTAATGTTGTCCTTTTCCTATCAGAATCAGAAGCTTTCATTGCTGAGTAGGTCGTCTGTTTCAGCGCATTATTCATAGATATCGTACTTTATTTTGTTAAATTTCTTAGAAATGTGTTTTTATTTGATTTCATCTGGTGCTTCCTCGTTGCAGGCGTTATTCTGGATTGTAACTCCTCAGTTCCTCAGTCCCTGTGCTTCAGAGTCTTTACACCATGATGTTGGTGTATTTGCATTGTTTTACTGCATTTTTATTACTTTCATGTGTACAGCAGTTTGTGTTATATTTAATTTTTATTACAAAAAATGCTCTAAAAGTAAACTGTGACTGACTGATTGTGAAATATTTGGTTACAGGACACATGAACCACTAGAGCTCGGGTCCTCTGATCAGGAAAACAAACGTAGACGTTCAGCAAACACATTGGAGACGCCAAAGGCTCCCACAGGAATGAATGGAGTTGGGTCGGTCCAGATACGGACACAGAGTTATGTGGAAACGAGGCGCTGCAGCCGGTTATCTCCCGTGGAGCTGCCGCGCTGCCCTCGAGTGGAACTGACGGTGGACTGAACCTAAACCCGCTGCATCTCCTGCAGCTGTGCCACATCTGCAAACTGAAAGGAACCACAGGCAGAGAAGCAGAACGCTGAGGGAACACGTGGGGGGCAAGCAGAGGCCAGCAGTTGGAACTGCTGTGTGACTGCACGGTGGGTTAATCTGCAACGTAATGAAAGAGCAGCCGTCGGTCGGATGGACGGACGGACGGACCTGGAGGAACCCGTCAGCGCACGTTTAACGAAGGTGGATTAACCCGTATGTTTTCCAGTTGTGGTGAATCGTATTTTAATGATTTAAACGGCTGCAGAAGCACCGACGTCTGCAGCGGTGACGGATTTTCTCCAGGACGGAACAACGAAGACTGACTTTCATTACGTTTGGCAGCCACAGTGACCTCCTGGGATGCTTCATGTAATATTCAGATGATTCTTCAGCAGCGTCCACAGCTAGACCCTCCATGGTTCCTCTGTGTGAGTCCGCATTCACCAGAAACTTTGAGATCTTTGTGGACAAAGAATTATCTGAATATTAGCTCAAACAAAAAAATGGAAAACCTCCAAAGTGTTTTCATGGAAGCATGTGGTGACCTGAGGAGCAGCTCTGCGAGGCTGAGAGGGAACCCGACAGGAGCAAAGGAAACCAGAAAATCACAGAAAGGAACAAAAACCAGTGATGTGTCCTGGTTGACCCCCAGAGAGACGGACAGGCAGACATGCTGAGACAGACTGACCAGGCAGAGGGACATAACCGATGCATCACAATCTCCAACGCCAGCAGTCGGTCTGAACCGGCGCCGAGCGTTTGGGAACCGTTGCAGATTGTGAGGTTTTTGTAAAGATGCGCAAACACCCTGTTGCAGGCAAGCAGTGCAGGATCAGCCAATCGGAGCCCAGACGGAGCGATCACATGACCTCCCTCTGACGCAGCTCAGGCTAGGAGGACGCTTTTTCTTACGAGAGTAAAAAAAATTAAGTTTACACCTGTATGTTTTCTACTTCTTTTTCCCCTAAAGATTTTATAATGTTTAATTTCTGATTTTATACGTAAAATGTCACGGATTGGATCAGCTTTCACCAGCTCAGGGTTTTATAGTATTATCGCTGGCAGCGCTCAAAAATTCTAAATAAACACCTAAAATCTGCAGTACATGTTTAAGATTTCTTGTAAAAAGCGACTCCAATTTGTCCGATAAAGGTGGAAGAAGCATTCAGACGTTCTATTTAAATAAAAAGCATCAATGTGCAAAAGCAAACGTGCAGAAATACTTCTACAGGTATAAGTTCTGCATTTAAATGTATATCTAAGTAAATGTGGAAAAGCATTAGCGCCAAAATATATCTAAAGGTAAAAGTATGTATTATATAGAAAGATATATATTAAAGTTAATGTATATTACTGGTAATTACTGATGCATTGATGTGTTGATGTTGGAGCCGATAAAGGAGATAAAATATATATTTATTATAAAACTGTGACTTTATTTTGTCAGATAAACGAAACCTGATCTAAGATTACAATCAGAAAATAATAATGTTATTAAAACTAAGAAAACGTTTGGAACTTAGAGGGTTATTTATCTACTTTACAAAGTTGATCTGCTGCACGGACCAATTAAGTTTTATCCTAATCAATAACATGACATCATTTATTTGTTAATTACATTTTGTATTATTAAACTAAATCTGAAAACTAATTTAGTCTGTCAGATTAATGCGAAGTAAAGGTCTTTCCCCCTGATTTGTTAAATTACTGACATCTAGTTAAATCGCAGGAAAACATATTTTACATTTTCACTGTAAAAAAAAACTAAAAAAAAACCCTAAAAAATCTAACTGGAATTTGAAACCACATTTTTTAAAAACTGTACTTAAAATCAACAAAAACATTACTAATCTACAGATGTTTTAAATAAAATATTTGCTTGTTAAGGAGTAAAAAAATGGAAAGTGGTTTTCTTGAACTATTATTTATTTATTTTTACAGATTTTTGGTGTTAAATTAAAAATAATATCTTGTGAAGTGATAGAAATAGCAGCTTTTGACTATAAAAAAAATTGAAACAAATAGTAATTTGTTCTTTTAAAATGTTTGACCATAAATGACAGTTTTATTGCATTTAAATTTAGTAAAAGTTTTATTATTTTACAGATATTTACCGTTAATTTCACAGTTTTTACAGTTTTTTATAATTTCACAGACTTCCACCGTTTAACTTCTGCTGTGAGGCTCCACTGCTGCCAGATTTTTATTGTTTTTTTACTTTTATTTTTTTTTAGAGGAGAAGAACAAATTTGGAGAAAATGGGTGTAATCGAGTACAAATACCTCAAAACCCTATTTAAGAGCAGTACTGAAGTAAATGTACTTGGTTGTTTTTCATCACCGTCGTTCTAAACTCCTGACTGTGGAGCTCAACAGACGAGACCAGAATGAACAGTGAGCGTTGATGTTTTGTCCAAGAAGCCGAGGTCTCAGTCTGGAGAACGTTTTGGGACTGAGGTGATGAAGAACCTTGTGAGGTTCTTGAAGCAGAACTCTCTCCACGTTTACCACTGTTAAAATGTCTCGCTACGTTTGTGACGCTTTCGGAGAAATACGAACGTCTGGGAGAGGAACTGCAGAATTTACAAACGCGAGGCAGGTTTTTGAGAGCTTGCTGTGAACTCAGGGTGTATGGCAGCTTTAAAAACCACCGGGGAGCTTCATCATCATCATCATCATCATCATTAACATTAACATTATAATTATATCGTTTACTTTACCCAAAGACACGGTCAGAATGGAGCATGCTCTATGGTGGAGACGGAACGGGAGGAGGAAGAAAGAAGAGGAAGATGAAGGTTATCTGTTCAATCGACCAACCGGTATTTACACAGTATCACCAGGAGAGGAGGAAGAGCAGGAGGAAACAAGGAGAGGAAACAAGGAGAGGAAACGAGGAGAGGAGGACAGAGGAGACGCTAATAGCAGGGCAGGAAACTGACTTTTTGTGTCACGTTGTTGTAAAGATCTGGTGATGTTTTATATTTTTCTTTTTGTCAGAAATCCATGAAAGGAGCCAAACCAGCGATTCCTAACTAGTACAATATTAATGCTTCTCTCAGTATTTCTCTCATGCATATTATGGTTTATTTTTTTTCTCACATTCCTTAAATGTTTGTTCTATCTTTGCTGCAAATTTCCCCACTGTGGGATGAATAAAGGATCATCTTATCTTCCTGTCTGTGAATATAGAGTTTAAAACATTAGAGCTTTATGTTGTATTCAGGGCAGACACCAATACTGATTATTGGTAATCAATGGGGCCAATCAAGGCGGGGTGTTATAAATGACAGTTTTCCTTTTTTCACATGCTGTTAATTTAACTATTTCATTAATAAGGATCACTATAATTAAATGGGTACAGTATCGTTAGCAGTGATGATGTCAGAGCATCATGTGATGATCAATAAGTTTGTCTCCTGCGGTTATATCTGCTGCTGTTCTCAGTTTTTTCCCCCAATCTTCCACTATTCTTCTACGTTATCGTCCACCAGGACCCAGATCTTAAAGCATTATTATTGTTTTCCAGTCGCCTCCTAACTTAGCCGCTAGCCGTTACCGTGAAAGCAATTGGCGGCTGTGCTTCCCGTTCAGTTTTTAATTGGTGGTTGCTCTTCTGGAGAGATGTTTCTGTCAGTTAGAGCAGATTTATTCAGTTAACGTCACTTCAAAGAGATGGTAGCGTTAGCAATAGGAATGAATGAAAGTCTCTTAGTTGTAGCGTTAGCCTAGCGTTGTTGCAAGTGGTAGCACTGACACCATCAAAGATATTTCTACCCCTACATAAATATGTCTATTGTATTATCTAGCTACAATGAGAGCAATTTCAGCTCCTCGCGCTCAGGTCAATATCAAACTTCAACCCACTTTACAAAACTCGCTCCGATAAAAGACAAAAGCTGCTCATGCTCTGTGTTTTTATATTAGACCCGACTTTCACTTGTGGAAAATTAAACCAGAGCTCGACAGATTGCCTGGTTCTGGTCCAAATTACTTTAAATATTTCATTTTATTTAGAAATATCACAGCCCAGCTTAACGTCTGCGTACGCTGTGAATCCTTCGCTCTGCTAACACACCCCGTATTTAAATGCATGTATGAAATTATTGAGTTTTTTCTTAAACAAAGCGATATTTCTGACATTTTTAAGGATTTTCATGCCGTCACAAAGAAGTCAAAGCACTGACACAATGCTCAGGTCTGCACATGGCGCTTTGTTTTTTATATCAGTAAGAAAAATATAAAGTAACACCAGCGTTAAACTTTGACATGTAAAATAAAACGGGCATGTTTCCCGCCCTGAGTCCAGCTACCTAAAGTCACGACAAGGTGAGTAAGACACAGTAGAGCAGAGACAGATACCTGTCTGAAAACCACAGGATGAGAGAGGAGACAGAGACAGACGAGTTAAAACATCAGTCCTCGTGTCACACATGCAAATTCAAGATGAACGCTGAGAAATTCAGGATGAAGATGCTGTTATTGATCAGACACAATGCAGACCCGGCAGTGTGCTGGGTTTTACCTGACAGACAGACAGACAGACAGACTGATGGGAGGAGAGACAGATGGACGTAAGGCTTATCAGACAGGTGAGAGGACAGACGGACTTACCTGTGGTGGATGGAGGTGTTGGGGAGGAAGGACATGTGGGAGGAGAACTGGCTCCAGAACCTGAAAAACAGCATCCGGAACCATTTTAATTTTGTTTTTAAAAAGTACTTGAAATTGGATCTATATCAAGTTCAGAGAATTATTTTTCCTCTCCGATCAATTATTGAATGATTGGTCGCATAAACACAAGAAGAATAAGAATCTGAAGTCCTGAACAAATAGTGGAGTATAATTAGGTCATCGAGCCAATCTATTTAATTTAATATAAGAGTGTTAACTCTGTTTTGCCATGTTGTAAGTACTGTCAGACTCACCGAATAAATAAAGAAAATAAATAAAACAACAAAAAAACCCATATAGCTAACTAGCCAACTCATTAGCCTTCATGTTTTTGCTAATTAGCATGGACAAAAGACTTGCTGGCATGCTAATTAGCTAACTTAGAGGACTCAGTATTTGCTTCCCGCCTCTGTTTTCTGACAGACTGACAGTATCTGTGACGTACCAGAGTTGTTGTTGTTTCTGACGGAGGCGTCCTCTTCGTTTTCATAAGCCGACTGTCTGGACTTCTGCAAACACAAAAACACGACTTTGTTTTAGGCTGTAAACACCTTAAAAGAGTTGAGGTTTGCTCTCCTTAATACACAAACAAATGACAGCAGTTAGCCCTCTGAACACTCGGCAGTTTTGGGGTGTTTATTTGCTCCCGTCTCATTTTTCTTCACTGTGGTTAATTTTTCACTGCAACATAAAGTCCTGCAGCTCTATAGAAACAGAGTGAAGGAGGAGCGAGAACTCAGAAATGTCTTCTGTCTGTAGAAACACTGGCTGCAGTTCAACCAAATAGTTCCTAAAGTTTTAATCATGTGACAGCTGAGCCACTAATAGCTTCCTCGTTGCGTCATTTTAAACGAGACGTGTAGAATAAAGAGAGTTTGATGAAATATAATGAACTGAAGCTCAGATCTGATTCACTTTATAAACTCAACAGTACGTCAGTCGGGCAGATAAGTGCAGAATCTGTTGTTTTACAGAATCTGTTCAGGACAAATCTTTTGTTTTTGGTAAATTTTCAAATCAGACGTGTGGAATAAAGTGATTTTGATGAAACAACACTTTAAAGCTTGGATCTGGAACAACAGATGTGGCAGATGTGTAGTTCAAGGACTGTCGGAAAGTTGAACATCCAGTAATTTCCTCTTTTTTTCTGGCTGATAAATTGTGTAATTTGGCCGATTTTTAAAACACTAACATGCATTTTTAAACGTTTTTTTGTGGCATTCAGAGGGTCAGAGCTTGTTGACGGTATTTTGCCTTGTTGTGTATTCTACTGACCTTCCTCGCCAGGATCTTCCTCCTCTTCCTCTCCTCCTCTGAGCCGTGGTGAGACTGAGCTCTGGTCAGCCTCCTGTGCTGGTGGAGCTGCGATCAGACAAAAACGCACGTCATCCTGGACTTTAGGGAATGAGAACCGCCACCGCTGTGACCCTGATGGTCCGACTACAGCTACATGTTCACGCTGCAGTGACGAAGGTCTAAAAAACATTTGGTATTAATCAAAAATCTATCAAATAAACCAGTTTTAGATACGAATTTTGAAATCGCACATCCAGAAAAACACTTTTTGCACATGCAGCACCAGAAGAGGAAAATCTTTAGATCAGTATTTCATTAATTCTTCGTCATGTTGAAGCACAAACGATGCCAACGTGGACCCACCAGTCTCTGCTCCTCGTGCAGCCTCTTCTCCAGGCTCTCCTTCGCCGTCTTCAGCGCCTCCTTTAGCCTGCTGGGAACCTGGAGGAGCGGAAAACTTCAGATATGTGCCTTTTAAAAAGCCGATTTTAGCGTTTACATTGAAGCGAGCTTCTCACCTTGATCTGGAGTTTCTCTGAGTGTTGAAGCGGGACGTCACTGAACAGCCTGTAAGACACACAAAGCCAGAAAAAGATGACGTTCGTTGTGCGATGCTGGTATTATTTTGTTGACCGTGAAACCAAACTTCTATTCTGTCGTGCTGATTAGAACACAGACAGACGCACAGATCTATGTCGCTGCAGTCACGCAAATATAACAAGCACTATGTAAGGTTTGGGAAACTGTGGATTAAAAGGAAATATGTGCGGTAAACCTGAGGAAGAGTGGGTACAATTTAAGAAAACGTACAAAAGAAAATAAAGACTGCTTGTAAAATACATGAATGTGAACCAGTAAAGATGTTTTGAGGGTTTCTTTACTTAACAGGAAACAGTAAGATGTGAGACGCTTCGACACGTCGCTGGAAAAAGTTGAAGTTAAACTCGCTTTAAAAAACTTTATTGTAAAATTTTGTGATGGATTTTCTTTTATGTTTTTTTACCATTATGGTTTTGTTGCACGTCTGACATAAATCAATAAAAAAAACCCAGCCTGCTTTGTTGACCTTACTACCAGTATAACAGTTTGAATTGTGAATTATTTGTTCTTTTTCTTGCTCCTGTGACAGTCGAACGCCGTCTGGGCTGCAGATGAAACGATAAAAACCGTCTTACAGGCTTCAAAAAAAGACATTAGAGCAACACGATTAGAAAATACAGTTGCAACGACAGTCAGATCTGCTCACACCCAAATGATTTGTCTTAAATAATCAATAACATCTTTAATGTTTGCCTCAGTGATTGCTGCCTTTTATTTCACATCACTGTAAATCAGTGCTTGTCCTCAATGGTTCCTCAAGATTTAAATAAAGCTAAAACAGGTATTGATAAAGCCGGCTAACAGTCACACAGTCTGCAGTGTCTTTACAGCTCTACTTCCTGCTTTGGCTGCTGCTGTTGTGTTCATTTGGTTTGTATTATGTGCTGGCCTGGTTGACTCACCGAGCTGAAAACCAGCTTTGTAAAGCCGCTCATCCCGAGTTTAGGTTTAGTGAAGCCAGATAACAAAAACACATCCTGGATACAGACGGAGGCTACAAGCCAACTCACGGTGACTGGATGAGCTGCGACACGGTGGGCATCCTGCTCTTACAGGCTTCTGTGGACAGAATGGACTGAAGCACCGGCACTGAAACACACAAACGCACATGATGAGTAACCGACCATCGTAACAGAATCAGAACGTCTGGAGGAGCAAAGAGGTCTCTGTGTGTACAAATGTCCTTTTAGAACCGATTTGAAGCTCATCAGGTTCTGGCCCGGAGCTCTGAACCCATGTGAGGCTGTTTGGAGCCTTTGATAACTTCTGAGTGAAGCCGAGGGTTTAAATCTGAGGCTGACTTCAGGGTCCCTCATGTTTAAATCAACGTCCTTTTTTAAAACACTTCATTACTGCATTATTATTGTTTTAGTTGTTATTGTTTCTATTGTTATTATTTATCATTATTGTTTCTACTGTTATTATTGTTGTAGTAGTTATTGTTTACTGTTATTAATATTCTATGTATGTGTGTTTTTATGGTGCATTTACGGACCCACGGCTGTGTATGGGGCGTCAGGAAACTGATCGACGGGGACGCTGTCCGGCGGCCGGCCGTACGTCATCTCGTACAGTAAATGTCCGAAGCAGAAGACGTCGATGCTCTCTGTGGTCTGGAAATGTAAAAACATACAAGTTTGTCTCTTAAACCTTCAAACCACGAAGCTCGTTTGTACATTTGTGGCCGACGCAGAATCAGAAACACGAGAGAATTTACCCCAGAACTCTTTTTTTAAATCAATCATTTCAGAATTAGAAGCACGTGTGTGCAGACTCATCCGTACGTTGATCTTCCTGAGCTGGGTGAAGGCCGGTCGCAGCGCTGAGGGAACTCCCAGCATGCCGTTCTCCACGTCCGTCAGCCGGCACACGCCTTCGTCCACGATGACGTTGGACGCGTGCAGGTGGCCGAAGACCACGCCGCCGTCATGGAGCAGCTTCAGGCCCTGAACAGACACACAGGGGCAGTTTAGTGACGCTCTGACGGGCGTTCGGTTGGTTTTCCTGCGGATGCTCGTTTACCTCCAGGATCTGACGTCCGTACAGTTTGACGTGCGGCAGCTCGAGGCCTTGACTCTTCTTGGGGTTGCAGTACTTCTTCAGGTAGCTCTCTCTGGGCTTCACCTGCAGACGGGACGGAGAAGCAGTCGAGTACTTTCAAAAACAGGTGATTAAAGAGACACCGCTTATGGAAATGAGTCATAGAAACAGAAAAGCGGGACATTATAACACATTTAAACCCCTCAGCAGTATGTTTATAGTCTGTTCTTTATCGTCAGGGTAAGACGTGACCTGAGAAAGTCTTTCTCAGCTGAGCTTTACGTTCCCCCTGAACAAAGCTGCAAACTAAACCACTGGAAACCAACATGCACTGAGTCTGTGTTTCAGAAAATATGTTTTAACGTTTGTTCCTGATTTGCTGCCATGTGTTGGTATTTATCACAGAGAATATTCAATCAATAACATTAATTTCATTTTGATTTGGCCAGAAATTAAAGTGATTTCCTGCATTATGGGACAGAGTCTGACCTGAATGGCCTTTAATGCAACATCAGGTTTAAATATATGAAGTTTAACAGCCTTCATGTGCAGGAGTCGGTTAGAAATCAGCAGCTGCATCGATCGACACACGATTATTCATCATTTCCAGAAGCAGCGCTGCTTTTTAGCGTCATTAATACTCCTCGTAGCTCTACATTTAAACAACCTGCTGACTGAAGTAGGCGACACACGATTGGTCCATATTATGCGGAAGAAGAGTCACATGATGCGTTTAAAGACCTGATGAAAACCTGGTTAACAAAATAACCGTCTGACAGCATCATCGCAAGCTTTAGGTTTGTACACAAAGAAAGCCCGGACACGTTGAACCTGCTTCGTGGTGCAGGTTTACTCTGGAGCTCAGAGCCTCGGCGTACCTTACAGATGTGGTCTCTCAGAGATCCTCTCTCGCTGAAGGGTCTGATGAGCAGAGCTGAAGACTCGCTGGTGCTGGAGAACAACAGCGGGCAAAGATACGGCGTCTGTGGAGGAGAGTCGAGTCACTGACGGTCAGTAACTGGAACTAAACGTCTACGGGGAGACTTACACTGACATGAGTTGACTTTAGCAGGAGTTAGCCGGTTTGTACGTCGCCAGATTCATCACAAGCTGTATTATTCTAAATGCTTATATAAAAATACATCAGCTCGCTCAGGTTTTACAGCTCATGATGGATGTTTTTGGTTCGCTGATTTCAGATTAGAAGAGCGAGTTAGAGTGTAAATAATACATTTATTTAGGCTTGCATTTTTTGTTTTTTACATTAATCATTCTGCATCGTACTGCTGCAAGAATTCATTATGCACACTGACAATAAACCTTATTACAATACGTTTAATAACCTCTGTGTATTCTGGCTTTTCCTTTACTTTCATAAGCTATTTTATTTACAGTTCAACATGAGAAGCTTTCACCTGAAATAACTAAACAACAACTGAAGCTGCCAGATGCATTAAAGCAATAAATACAGATTTTATTCTCACTCAGTTACTCAATCAAGTCAGCCAAAGTCTGAACTAACAGCTTTAATGTTCGTCCAAATGCAGAGAAACGCTTCTTTTCAGACTTGGAGGATGAATAATCTAACAACCGTATTTGTTCCAGTTTTTCTTATCATCCTTCAAAACAAAAACCACAAATTGTTTACCAAAGAAAGTCAGCTCCAGATGTATTATTTATATGTTTATGAGCTTCCTGCAGAGAGGACACAATAACCTGATGGAAGTCATTTCTCATCATTTCTCCCACACAGAGTCCAACCTCCACCGTTATCGCCCTCCATTTTTGCAGCGGTGTAATAAAAACCAGACAATATTTTCCCAGCAGAACTGTGCTCGACTACCTTGGCGATATTAAAACATTTTCCTTCGTCATGCTGTTCTTTTATATTTGACTCGAGGTTTGCTGCTGCACATTCTGGAGACGATCTTGTTGCTTGTTGCTGATTTAGGCAACAAACAGCAAAATCCTCGTCAGGTCTCTCCTGCTCTCTGGAGAAAAAGAGCTTTGAAAACATCTGCTTTGTGAACAAATGTGTAATAATTAGTGAGGATTTCTTTTCAGGATTTTTGAACTCCAGTGTCGTAGGGTTCAAAGCAGACTCTTAAAACTCTGATTCTGGATCAGTTTGGGTGACGTTGTGGTGACTTTTTTCAGATGTATGAGCCACAGATTGTTTACAGTGTGTACGTACAGAAAGGCCGGTGAGCAGCTTCATAGCAGACTGAAGGTCTTTATCCGACAGGAACTTATCAGGACCCAGATCCACCTGCAAACAAACACAGAGTTTATGTTTAATATTCATTTTATGTCTAAAAGAAAATGTTATTTTTAGATTTTCATGATCGGTTTCTTTTCTTCCGATTGTACGCAGCTCAGGAAAAACACTCGATTTAAGTCCCGTACTTTCAGAAACATCCTTCAGGAACAATAACGTGACTTTAACCCTCCAGTTAATTATAGACTCAGTTTACATTTACAGTTGAAGGAGGCTGTGAGAAACCCAAATGTGAAGAAATCCACTTCAGACAGTTGGATTTTTCAGCTCTTGACCTTCATTCAAACGATAAAAATAATCTGAGCAGAGGTCAGACGATGTTTATTCAGTATTTATAGATAAAAAGTTTTGTTTAAAATCGCTGGAATTCAGTCAAACTGATCGTTTCATTCACGCGGCGACAGAATCACACTCACCAGATGTGTGTTTTAAAATGTTTTTGCATGTATTTGATCAGTAAAACCGGTTTTATAAGCGTGAACCGTCACATGCACCGTGTCTGTGCTTCACTCACCCAGCTCAGCAGGTATCTCTCTTTGGGCTGCTCTTTGTTTTTGATTAAGAAATATTTCTTCCTGATCCTCCAGCCTGAAAAAACAAACAGCAAGTCAGGTCGTCTGAGGCTCTGCCAGGAAGAGCTCCACGGTAGACACGTTTAACTTTATTTAAAGCAGCGTGTGGCCTTACTGTGACACTAAACATCATCGTTTATGAAGCGAAAAGTTGAATTTCTCACTAGTTTAATTAAACACTTGGAGGGATTTTGCTGCTTTGGCTTCAGTTTTTCTAGCTGGACCAGAAGTTTGTGCCAAAGTTCTTCAGTTAAAGACGATTAAATGCTCAAACAGACTTTTGTTTTGCGGTTATAATAATTAGCATCGTGGCTAAGCGCTACATATAATTTTCACTGAGCACAAACTACACAGACTCAAAGAAAAAGTTAATTTTTTCTGGTTTCTTTTCTGAGTTCTTTCTCCTTCTTCATGGTTGTTCTGCTTCCACTGAGGTGTAGGACTTTATATTGAAGAGAAAAATGAAGCACCAGTGAAGGAGCAAAGAAACCCTCCAGCTTGGAGTTCAGACGGTTTAAACCAACTGTGGATCATATTAGATAACTGTGGATGTTTTAATCATCCCATTACTCAATTTGCTTATTTCCAAAGGCAAAAAATGTGGGAGAACAAAATCAAATTAGAGATGATGAATGGATGGAAGTTTAACTGCAGGATGCACAACAACACATGGCTGGATGAAAAAAGATGAAAACAACTTTTGGGTCTGTTCACATGCGACATAATCAGCTGACAACAAACGAGCAGCGAACTTCAGCTGCAGTGAGAACCAGGAGTCACAGTCTGAAGGCTTCAGACGTCCAAATGACTCAGTCGGGTTCAATTAATGTACAAACTGTCTGAATGCATCAAACAGCTGAGAATAAGGAGGCTGTGATTCTGGAGGAACACTGATACGTAGCTAGTTAGCATGTTTAGACAGTTAGCATGTAAAAATAGATAGCATGTTTAGATAGTATAATTAGATAGTTAGCATAGTCAGATAGTTAGCATATTTAGATATTATATAGATAGCATGTTTAGATAGTTAGCATGTTTAAATAGTATATTTAGATAGCATGTTTAGATAGCATGTTAAGATGGTTAGCAAATTAACATAGTTAGCATGTTTAGATAGTTAGCATATTTAGATAGTATATTTAGATAGATAGCATGATCAGATAGTTAGCATATTCAAATAGTTAGCATGTTTAGATAGTTAGCATGCTTAGATAGCATGTGTAGAAAGTTAGCATGTTTAGATAGCATATTCAGATAGTATATTTAGATAGTATATTTAGATAGATAGCATATTTAGATAGTTAGCATTTTTAGTTGTTAGCATACTGAAATAGCATATTTAGATAGTTAGCATATTCAAATAGTTAGCATGTTTAGATAGTATGTTTAGATAGATAGCATATCTAGATGGTTAGCATATTCAGATAGTTAGTATTTTTAGATGGTTAGCATATTTAGACAGTTAGCATGATTAGAGGATTAGCATATTTAGATAGTTAGCATGTCCCAGATTTGCCGTCCCTCTAACTCCTCGTCCTTCATCCATTCAGTTCAACATATACATATTTTTTACAACACATGTCATCTCACAAGTTTAACAGAACCCAAAAACGTCTCACCCATGTCTCTCAGAGGCTCCAGAACCTCCCACTTTGGGTCCGACCGGAAGAACATGGAGACTTGCTGCAGGGCGATTTCTGCAGAGAAAAGACAGAAACCAGGACGATGAACTTTAATCAAAATAATATTTACCAGCGTTTTAAACAGCTGCTGTCGATAAAGTAGTAAAGTTGTGTTTCCTGTAACCTTTGTAGGGTTTTAATCCCTGATATGTGAATTACTGGTGACATAAAACCATAAATAACACCGTCTGGTCTTTGGTAAGTTGATCTTTTTTACTGCTTACTTTTCCTGAATATTTTATTTTTAAGTTGCAGATGCAGCTTCAGCAGCAGCTTGTTGTTTATCTTGTTAAACTTCATTAATAATCTGGTATTTTATTAACATGCTAATCAGATCATAAGAAGCTATTTCTCAAGTTTCTTGTACAAGAATAAAAAAAAAAAAAATGCAAACACTAAAAATGTTTCCTTGTTGACAAGAAAAATATTAAAATATAATCACACTTTGGTCAAAACAAAAAAAAAAGAATACTGTCTTACTTAGTGTGAACCAAAGTGTTTGTTGAATCAGTCAGAGACACTGAAGTCAGAAATGTTTAAAACTGCACATCTTTTACATGTAAATATTAAACACACTCAGGTTAACGAGGAGCTTTAAAGTTCAGCTTCTGAAGGTGGAACCGACCCGTGTAGTTGGCCGAGTAGTTGTTGGGGTCCAGGAACTTCTTGACGGTCAGGGAGCTGCAGAGCACGGGATGCTGGGTAATGGAGTCCAGGTAGGTCTGCAGCCCTCTCTGCCTCTCTGCTATGAACTCTCTGTCCATGTTTCCGATCAGCTTCTTAGGAGGAAGCGGGAGGCTGATGCCGCAAACCTGCACACAAAGACAAGCAGTTTTATTAATGATGTGTTTTCATTTATCGCCACTAAATCCGTCTGTCGGTCAGTTCATCTGAAATCAACAGTTTCTGCTCAACCATTTTCACAGCATAAAATCTGGATATTTATGAAGATAGTTGTGAAATCTTAGCTTCATATATGAAATCATTTCTGTGATAAATCTTTTTAAAAAAACTGCCCATCAACCCACCTTCAGCAAGTTGTTTTGCACATTGAAAACTAACTACTACTAAGCAACTATTAAAGATTAAAAAAACCTGACACATTCACTGTTATTTCTCATCATGTCATTAATTCAGAATCAGCAATATTGAACAAACAGATGGAGAAAAAAAATCTCTGACTATAGACGAGCTGAATTATGAAAAAATAAAATTGAAGCCGTCATTAAAAGTCTCCTTTTTTATACCGTGAAATGTGAGTGTTTCTAAAGATGTTGGAGAAAAGAGAGCAGACGGATGTGTTCTTATGTTCAATTCATGTTTTCATGTTCCCCAGATGATAAATCATTGGGTTATTCCATCTCACATCATCAGAGACCTTTTGCAAACACTTTTATCATCAACTGTGGATATTTAAAATGCTATCTGTCAAATTTAAGCTCAATATATCGAATCATTTTGAGATAAACATTCGCTAAAAACTGCCCGTCGACCCACTTTCAACAGGTTTTTTGAAATTCGAGGCTGTTTGAACGACAATATCTCAGAAACCTTTAAAAAGCCTGAAATGTTCACTGTTATTTCTCATCATGTCATTTATTTAGAATCTGCATTATCAAAGAAGTCGGTTAAAGCATCTCAGATTCTGGCTGAGCTCAAACATGAGCAAAAAGCTGAAGATGTCAAGAAAAGTTCAGTCTTTGAGCTAAAAAACTAACAATGCAGAAGTGAACTTGTGGTGTTTTCTGAACCACACGTAGCTGCAGGTCACAATAATACAAAACTAAACCATTTTAAATATCCAGAGTTCATGAGAGTAAAGATGTGAGTAAATCAGGGAGCAGAAGGCCGGTGGTGATTTCAGACAGAATATCCCAGAAGCTTTGACAGCACATGGAGCGAACACCAGGGGCTGATGGAGGTTTGTTGTCAGTGTGAGACCCCCTCAGGCAGGAAATCAGCAGACGAAACCTCAGCAGAAAAACTGCTAAAGCTTCCTGTTATCCGGGAATGATGTGACCTGGCCCAAAGCACAAAAACACAAACACATCCCGGAGTCACGCTGATGCGACGCAGCTCCGCCGAATCAGTCCAACTCCTCAGAACAACAGGCTGCACCGCTTCAAGGACTTCAGTGGAAGCTTGCTACTTGCACCCAGGTCACAGTATCTGTCTGTTTTTTTAACCCTTTTTGAATCCCAAAACACACCAGTGAACAAAAACAAAACTGCAACAATAAGGAGAATCCCTGGATCTGTGAATGATTATTGAACGTTCTGTTCAGTCAAATCTGAGCTTCAGTCACTTTACGTCTCATTTAAAACTAAACCAAACATATACAGTTTTCTCGAACCAGATTCTACGAAAAACAAAAAATTCTACGATTTTCGCTGAAACAGGAAAGACATCAGTGGCTCGGCTGTGACCAGAAGTCACGTGACAAAAATTCTGATAGTTTTCGGCTGAACTGCCGGCTGTGTTTCCACAGAGCAGCGAGGACACAAGCTAAACACGTCGGTAGTAAAATATCTCCAGCATGCAGAGGCTCTATGTTATCGATTCCAGGATTTTTTTAGTATTTACAAATAAGGAAGCAAAGAAATTCAGCTTTACCTACATTCTAATGCAGAGGCACAGATTTGGCAACACCTGTGTACACTTGGAAAAATGCATTAATTTGATTAATACCAGATTTTTTCTCTCATGTTCTGTAATATAAATAACAAGTCTAAAAAAATCTAAACTAAGATGTGAAAGACCAAAACGAGACACAAAGTAACTACAACAAGTCCTAAAACGACCAACAGCAGACACAAAACAACAACTAAAAGATGTAAAACAACCCAAACAAGGTGCAAAACAACAACAAAAAGATGTCAGATGACCAAAGTGGGACACGAAGCAGCTACAGAAAGACGTGAAACGACCAAAACGAGACACAAAACAACTACAAAAAGTCCTAAAACGACCAACAGCAGACACAAAAAAAAAAAATTAAGGACCTAAAGTAGACACGAAACAGCCACAAAGATGTAAAACAACCCAAACCAGACACAAAACACAAACACAAAAAGATGTAAAATCACCAAAATAAGACGCAAAACAGCCACAAAAGATGTAAAAGGTTCAGGACTGAAACTGCTGCTTGGAGTTCAGAGTGTTAACCATCTTTAGATTTAGATTGTGACCCACTAAAGGACTTCAAACCACATTGTTGTTCAATATTTTATTTATTCTTTTAATCCTTCACTAGTTTCAGACAGACTTTAATAAGATTTAGTTTCATACCTATAAAAATAAACAGTTAAAGTTTGCAGCAAAGAGATGTTTTAATAAAAAGCTCTTCCTCAGGCAAGTATCAGAAACTTTGAATAAAACGCTCTAAAAGTGAACTAAGTTACTGATTTAGGGCCGGACGAATAGACAAAAATGCGCAGAGATGAGCTGAAGCGAGCAAACAGCAGCTTCTCAAACCGATCTCAGCTGAGACGAAGCCTCAAAACTCCTCCGACAGCAGCAGCTAAAGCAGCTCAGAGCTCTCACGGGAACAGAAAAACTGTCGCAACCGGCGGTTAGCGCGCGTTCTCAGACAGGAAGGATTGGCCAACGCAGCGCTGGAGTGTGTCAACGTGGACCAGAAGAAAGAGAAAAGCCTGAACACACATGGAGCTGCTGCTGCTGCTGCGATCACTGTCTGTGATACCATGAAAAACGTCAGCGCTTGTGGACTCGAGTTATCTGTAGGAATGATTCAAACATTTGCTCTGCTGCTGCTGCTGGGTTCTGACTCCAGCCGTGTATGTCAGCAGAAGGACTTTAACGTGTAGAACTCACCATCAGGCTGCTGTTGAGGACATCGAAGTCACTGTAGCGTCGAATCACCTGCAACAAACACACTTTAGTTCACCTTTAACCTCCCTAAAGTACAGTGTGTAACAAATGTATTTGACCATCCAGCATCATGGAGGGCTTTAATCACACTCAGCTCTCCATGTTTTACTGTTTTGAGCAGGAACGAGGAATTTAAAACTGAGTTCACCTCTGAGAAGTTAGAGATGAATCAACATTCAAGCACTAAAGCAAACGTTTCTGTTCAGGAAAGCAAGTAAACACCTACAGTTCTTTGTTTTTTACAGAATCAGGTTTTAGAAAATGATTTGTTTTGGGTGAATCTTTAAATAAGACATGCAGAATAAAGGATTTTCTAAAAAAAAATGTTATGGTTGGGTTTGGTTAACTTTCAGGATCAAATGGAAAGTCACAGATGAGCAGTTCAAGGACCGTTGGAAAGTAGAAACTCTGATGATTTTTTACAGTTTGTGGCTCTGACAAATGGTGTCATTTCTGCCATTTCATAATAAAATAAGATGCCATTGCAAACCCACCAGCAGGTTTTGGGGTTCAGAGGCTTTAAGTGACTCAAAATCAGCAGGAAACTAAATAAATGAATATTTATGAGTTTTGTCTGAAGGATGAAACATAAATCATCCGTTATGTCCACTTCTTAATAAATGTTTCTATGAAGGTTCTCAAGCTGAAATAAATCCCCTCTGTTAATTATATTATGCACAGAATTGTTGGTCAATAAAATAAATAGATGTACATTTCCAACAACAGGATTCTTCTTCCCTTCCTCCAGCTCAACAGTAAACTCAGTTTTCAGGATGTTAAGATTAAAACTGAGCTAAAGTCCAGGTGAGTGTAACAGGCTGTGATTGGTGCGTTTACCTGCCAGCTGTTGTCTGAAGACACGCCCCTCTGCACTCGGATGATGTACTCCTGCAGAAACACACACACATGAAAACACTTTCAGAAAATACACCACAGAAACATTTAAACTCAGGAGCTAAAACCACTGAAAGATTTTAGATTCGCTCGTGAGAAATTAAGTCATCGAGTTTAAAAAATAAAAGTCACAGTTTCCTCAGACCAATCAGCCACAACTAGACAAACAACGACTCGCTGATTAGTTGTCGACTGAGACAGTAATCTGCAAATAGTCACAAGCTTCTACTTTCAGCTTCTTGAACTTCAACATTTTCTGGTTTCTTTCGTCGTCAAACTGAACATCTTTGGACAAAACAACGCCGATCGATGTTTTTTTTAGAAAAGGAAAAAGTAAAAACTGCATCTAATGACGTGATTCAGTCCAATCACAACATTTTATTTGTTGTTTGTAAGTTAAAAATGTGTTTTTTCTGGTAAAATAACAACTTAATGTTATCAGATCATAACTTCTTAAACAAAAATCTTACATTTGCCCTCATCTCATTACAACTGCTTCTCAAAAATGTAGAAAAATGACACTTGATTGATTTAATATGATCTTTATTGATTTAGTCTTCTCTTTAATATGAACTTTATTTATTGATTTCTGTATTTATTGACATATTTACACATTTTAGTATATTCGTTGTATTATTACTTTATTTTTTATTATTTTCTTAACCTGTACTAAGAAATTGTGACTTTTATTTTGCCTTTCACCTACATATCTATCTGTGTTTCTATAAATAGACATTTTATTTTACTTCATCTGATTTATTTCCTGTTCTCTTATCTTCCTTATTGCACGTGTTATTTATGGCAGCATTTCCTCAGTTCGTGTGTTTTTGAGTCCTTCATTAATAACAAGATGTTGTTCTATCTATAAAGTCATTTGTGTTACATTTCATCTGCATGAGCAGTGCTCTGTAAATAAAATCTGACTGAATGATTGAGTTAAAACACAAAACAAAAGTTCTCAGCATTCAGTCCAGAGAGTGAAGCGTCACCGAGGGTTTATTAATGTTCATTACATTAAGTCAAATGGAAATAAACTACTTTCTATTTTTAGATCCTTATCAGTTCAGTCTTGCTCTGAGGTTGGAGGAACAGGATGGACCTGAATCAAACATGCCAAACACTTTCACTTTCATCTCCAGATAAACGCTCCAGACAACACGTTTCACTCTCACCGGCCTGTTCAGGTTTCTGCGACGAAGCTGCTGAGTAACAACATTTCCACAAGCGTCAGGTCACGAGAACCAGAACCGCGGAGCAAAAGTGGAATTTTCCTTTAATCTAATCCTCTCAGCCGGGCCGTGACGTAACTCTCAGGGTTCTGCTGTAATCCTGAACTTATTTACAACGTAAACAGCTCCGGTCCTCAGATCACGTCTGGACACAACAAAAATATCAAAACAACTTTCATTTCATCGCTGCTGTGAAGGTTTAACGCCTCAGATCGGCCTTCTGACAATTTATCTTTGATCTGTGATACCTGCTCGCTCTTTTTCCCAGTTTGTAGCAGTGATGAATATTCACAAAAGAAAAAAAGAGGAGGAGAAACAAAAGACAGTCCTGCTGTCACACACTTATTCACACTTATGTCAACGAGTCTTCATCCTGAAGTTGCATTTAAAGCCACTGAAACAGCCCTAAAGCTGGGAGTTACACAGTCACAGTGAAATGAACCATACCACAGCAAAAGACATGTTTCTGGAGACTAATTAGAGACTAATTTTCTGAAAAGGGGGCAAAACAGGACCTTAAAATGCAGTTTTCTTCGTCAATGTCATTGTGACTCAGTGCCACAGTAATCCGCCTTAAGATGCTTCTATAAATGATCTGAGTTACATGTTCAGACTCTAAATGTGGCTGTAAAGGATCAGATCAGTGGAATAAACACACACATGACGAGTTCATTAGATTTTCTTGTTTTCAGTGCAGCAGCTTGTAATTGTTTCTTCCTGTTGTTTCTCATATCTATAATTATACTTTATTTCAGTGTAATGCGCCCTGAGCTTAAGTGTAAGGAAATGTGCCATATAAATACATTTAATGAGCTGTAGCATCACTGTACTATAGTCACAGGCCTGTCCATGAAGCACTGCATCAATTTGGGAGCTGTTTCCATGTTTAGAAATCCTGTGAAGTCTTCTGACAGATTCAGCATCATGTAATCTGCAGTAAGTGTTTCCCAAATGACAGAAAGCTGCTGTTTTGGTTTGTTTTGATTGTGAGCTGAAGAAACAGCTGAGTAATGTGTTATTAAAAATACAGAAAATATATGAAAACATAAATCTAACATCTGTACACATCAGTATTAGTGTCTCCAGAGGGGTTACGGACGATATGATTCGGTTTTACAGCAACAACACCAGCAGCACCGATGGATGCCTGACATTAGCACGCTAAGCTAACTGGCTAGCTCAGCTGATGCCAGCCGGGCTGTCAACAACAAACCAACCAGCGGTGCGTCCATTATCGGACACACATCCGGCTGTGAATTATTTACTAGCATGATCTGGTTGTGGACAACCACTTTGTTTTAACATCGCTTTTTATTGTCCGCAAGAATTCCGAGACATTTTAATAGTTTAAAGTAACGCTGCCTTTAAAAACAGTTGAGTTTTAATGCGGTGACAAGCTGCGCCAAACTCCGTTCAAAAATACGAGTATTTATTATTTCAGTAAAGACTTCTTATTAAAATTTACACTTTTATTAAAATATGCGCACAAACCCACTCCTACTTTAAATCGGGATAGTTAACATACTAAATAGGTGCTTGTGTTTTTAAAATCTCAACATTTCTAACCGGTTCTCAACCGTGTTAGTCAGAAAACAGTCGTTAGGAGCGGTTAACAAAAACTACTAATTTTGTTACAGAGTTTGGTGGAACACTACACATTAAACAACATTTAAAAAGGAATAATAAGACGCAATAGTATGAGTTGGATTTGCTGTAGCTGTTTAATGTCTTTAAAGGAATAATGTGTGTAATTGGGCTCGATGCCGCAGAGCTCCTGTTTATATCAGCACATTACTGAGCAGGAAATTGCTTAATCAGTGGCAGCGACACGGAGCCCGGGTCAGCTGTCCGACAATGGAGTCACCCTGCAGCCCTAACAGGCTGCATCACGTTAAACACGCTGTCACCTGACTGAGAGGGGCCACAGGTACGGTTTTACAGCTCCAGTGTCTTCAGTGTCCAGCGGCGGTTTGTGGTCAATGTGATAATTAACAGAGAAAGATAAAGGAGAGAAGCTTCTACAGCCGTGTCCGATGATGGAACCAGCGACGCAGCGAGCCACTTAAAACGCCCACTTAGGAAAAACTTTGCTGTATTTTAAACACAGCGACACCGAAGACGTCCCCCTTCACAGCCGGAAACTGACGATGATGTTGCGGTGAATCCTACAGACTGTCACCGGCTCTCTGGCGGTTATGTCCAGTAAACACTCACCGTGTGGGACTGCAGGTTCTGGCTGGCTTCGATCACCGCCGTCAGGGGCACCGTGTCGTCCAGCAGCAGCCTGCCGGGGACCGGCTTCTCCAGGAAAGACATCCCGGAGGATTTACGGCGAAAGTCTGATGCGAGCGTCCGTGTGTCACCGACCAGGTGAGGGCGAGGCGGAGGACGAGCAGCAGCCGCCCGGAGGAGCTAACGGTTAGCCGAGATTCACCGTAACCAGGAAGCGCAGCTCCGATAAAACGTCATCGGGCTCATTTGTTATTCTAATTAGATGTTCGGGAAACCACGTGATGGAGCGTCACCGCCCCCTGCTGGCCTGGAGGAGGAACTGTTCTAAAAGTCCAGAGAGAAGAAAAATTAAATTAAATTAAATTAAATTAAATTAAATTAAATCATAAAGTACATTTAAAAATACAGCAGTTGAACCAATATAATATCCTTTATTAATCCTGCAAGGGGAAATTTGCAACGTCACAGCAGCAGTGACAGTAAGAAAAGAAATCAGAGCACAACTATAAATTAAAGAGACAAGGTATAGCTATATATACACAACATAAACAAGAAAACCAGAAGAACACAAGGATACTAGGAACACAAATTTAAGAATATTTACATGAATGAATTGCACTTGGGTTTATTGTACATGACAGCTGGCTAGCTGGGAGTGTTTGTGGGGTCTGTCAGGTTCAGTGATGAAACTGATTTATTTATTTTTTAGCTAAATATATTTAAGTAGGATAGTCTCAACACTGAAATACTGCTGCTCTTTCAAAATCTAAAGACAGTTGTTTTTTTCCACTGATTTTAATTTATGTTATAGAACTCTTTTTCATATTTTAATTTTTATCATTTTGTAACTTTCCACTGTTTTTGTCAACCAGTTTTATTATTCTATAAATGTGTACCTTTTTATTTAATTAAAAATGTTGTATTTCTACTTTACCTTTTCCTGTAAAGCACTTTGAACAACCTCAGTGAACGACAACGTTCTGTATAAATAAACATTTACATGCTTCTGCTGTCTGACAGGAGTTAAATCATCCCCTGTGTTGATTTCTGATTTCCACATTTCCTTCATTATGGGTCAGAATCAGACCTGAATGTTCACGTTTGAATGAATGAAGTTAAATGTTTCAGAGCTCTGAAGTGCAGCTGATGGTGAGAAATGAGCAGCTGAGGGTCACTGAGTGGAAAATACAGATATTAACTGAACAGTTTTCTACCAGGATTCATTCACAGTAACAGTGTTGATTTTTACTTTATATTCCTCACAGCTCCACATCAGAACCTCCTGCTGCTCTGGATGAAGCAGGCGTCACATGACTGGTCTAGTTTGTAAAGAAGTTCAACCTTCTCTGTTCTGGGAGTGAACACAGAGTCTGAAGAAGAAAATTCACCAGCAAACACAAAACAAAGTCTGAAAAACGCTGCTGAAAACAAACAAAACAGGAAATATTTAATCAACCCAACGCAAACTTTGCATCTTTATTCCACACAAATCTTCCAAACGTTCAACTAAATCCAGTCAACAAATTAAACTCGGCGATAAACATCCGCTGATTGTCTGTAAACATTTCTTCAAAAAACAAGTTCCATCACGTAAATAAGCAGAATGATCTGGGAGCTGCTGATGAGCTTCACTGCCTCTGCTGCTCCTCCGGCATCATCACCATCACCTCCCCCTCCATCACCACCTTGTCTTTGACCGAACACGTCACGGCGATGAAGGCGAACGACATCTTGATCTTGCGGACCTCGGCCTCGGCCACAACCTCCTCCCCGACGTAGAGCGGCGCCGGGAAGCGGATCTCCTGGTACAAGAAGACGCAGCCGCGGCCGGGCATCTTGGTGCCGAGCACGGCCGAGATCAGGCCGTTGATGAGGACGCCGTGCACGATGGGCGTCTCGAAGGAGGTGGTTCTGGCGTAGACCGGGTCCAGGTGGAGCGGGTTGGTGTCGCCGGTCAGCTCGGCGAACAGCTGCACGTCGCGGGAGGAGAAAGCTTTGGTGAGAGACGCTTTCTGGCCGATGTGGAGCAGCCGGCGGAGGGGCGGAGCCATCACCACGGAGGAGAGGCGGAGCCACGGTTTGGTGAACGCTCTGCTCCACGTGGACATCATGGTGAAGAAAACAAACGCTTCAGTCCAGCTGCAACTCTCGACTGTTTCCCGACAGCGCCAGAAGGAACGGAGACACCTGAAGGCAACATGAGAGGAACAGATGGACATTAGCAGAAGATCAGCTCTCATAGTTTAAACATCTCCCTTCAAGACACATCAACACGTTCAGGATCCTCCTGAATCACAACACATCAGCTGAAACCAGAAGTTAACCTACACTGTATGAAAAGACATGAAACCTTATTTTTCTCACTTTCTGACATTAAATCAAACTAAACTTTTCCTGCTTTAGGTCAGTTAGGATGAAACTAAACCTGAACTGTGAACTGGGGAAGCTTGAAGCCTGAGAACAGCATCCCAACTGTGAAGCACGGGGGTGGCAGCATCATGCTGTGGAGGGACTGGTGACCTTCACACAATAGATGGCATCACGAGGAAAGAACATGATGTGGAGATATTGAAGCAACATCTCCAGACATCAGCAGGAAGTTAAAGCTTTAAATGGGTCTTCAGATGGACGATGATCCTCAGCATAGCACCAGATTAGCTACAGAGAGGCTTCAGGACAACAGAGTCAGTGTTGTGGAGTGGACATCACAAAGACCTGATCTCCATCCTGGAGAACATCAGTGGAACAAGGAGACCAACAAACCTGACCCAGTTGAATCTGTGTCTCAAGTTGATTTCTTGAAGAGAGTCCTGTTCATTCTGAATTTTAGTATATTTAAGGATTATTTTTGGCCTGTTGAGGAGGCTGCGTTCCTCAAATGACAGAATTATGCACATCTTTAAACACAACACCTCTAATGAGGAACATGTGAGAGAAAGTGAAAGTCTAGTGAGGCCCAGATAAAGACTGCTTGTTTCTCTTTCATCCATTCAGTCTGTTTTCTGTTTCTGTTTGTGTGCAGCTGACAGCAGAGATATGCTTCTCGGAGGTGTGTGTTCGGGAGTGGCGGTCGGGTTTTCACAGCTGATAGGCAGCAGGTCAAACAAACAAACAAAAAAAACCACGAGCAGATACCAAACTGAACACACATTTACACACGCAGTCACTCCTGATCTTTAAACAGTAAATAAAACTCCAGAATGACACCATTTATCAGAGCAAGAAGCAGTAAAAACACAAAGACGAGGCAGATTTTCAACCTTCTGAAGACGCTGTTTGGTCCTAAAACTGAATAAAATCTGAGCTTAAAACTGGGATAAACTCACAACAGGTTTCATTCAGAACACAGTCAGGAACTAACTGTCAGCTCTTTTAGTTTTATTATCTATCTTTGTATATTCTATATCTATTCATCCAACACGGCTTCATTCAACCAGATTTCACACTTTCTTCTCACCACGCCGCGTAAAAACAAAGTAAGTCTGCTGACCTGCAGCACTCTGAAGGCACAGGCCTGGTTCTGGTAGGATCCCAGCAGAGTCAAGGAGCTCCACAGCTTCACCAAACCCCTGAAAACACACAAATTACACCAACACGTCAGGTTAGTGAGTCCAGTCGAGTGGCTTCAAAGTGACGCCTGAGTGAAATGTTCTCGTCTTGGTGCCGAGACCGAAGCTCACTTGCTGTAAACACGAAGAAGAGCAGTCAAGGTGTCGTCATCGTACTTCAACACGTCGAAGTTCAGCGCTGCTCCAACCTGAAGCACAAAAATGTACACGAGTAAGGGAAAAACGACCACAAAAAGATGTACAAAGACCAAAGCAGGGTGAAAAACGACCACAAAAGAAGTGCATAAGATGAAGAACGACCACAAAAGACATGAAACAACCAAACTGGGACAAATACAGGAGGAAAAATTACCACAAAAAGATGTAAAATTATCAAAATAAAATGAAAAAGACCATCAAAAGATGTCAAACAACCGAAATGGGAGGAAAAATTATCACAAAAAGTGTAAAACGAAAAAAATATAAGATGTGAAGTGATCAAGATGGCTCAGAAACAACCACAAAAAGATGTAAACCAACCAAAAAAAGGTTGAAAAACAACCACAAAAAGGTGTAAAATGACCAAAATTGCAGACAAATCAAGTCAGAGCTCTCACCTCTCCGTGCAGATTCTTGAGGCCTGTGATGATGAACTGCTTCAGTTCTACTGCGCTCAGTCTGGTCGTCTCATTCTCCAGCACACTGACAGAGGACAAGATAAGGTTTTATAAGGAAGCAAATCAAAGAGATGATAAACAACCAAGACAGGATAAAAAAAACAATCACAAAAAGATGTCTAAAGACCGAAAAAGGGTTTTAAAAAAACAACAAATGACCACAACACATATAAGAGGCCAAAAAGGACAAAAAATTACCACAAAAACATGTAAAATGACTAAAATGGGACCAAATTCGACCACCAATGGTCTAAATTGGCCAAAGCAGAGTGAAAAACAACCCCAAACAGATGTAAAATGACTGAAACAGGATGAAAAATGACCACAAAAACATGTAAAATGACCAAAATAGGCCGAAAATCAACCAAAACAGGTGTAAAACGACAAAAACAGGACAAAGAACAGCCACAAAAAGATGTAAAACTACTTAAAAATGGTCACAAAAGACAGAAAACAACCACCAAAATGTGTAAAAATACAAAATAGGATGAACAATGCCTGAGGAATATGTAAAATGACCAAAACAACATGATAAACAACCAAACAGAAGTAGTTTCAGGCCTCCTATGGTAACAAACAGATGATTTAATGACTCACAGGTGGACCTTCAGGTAGTGGTACGGCGAGGCGTTCTTCAACACGACTCGCTGGTAACTGGATTCTTCCTTCTTGTCGACGGGTTTCATTCTATTAAATCGATCAGCAGGTCGATCAGCTGACCTCAGACTGGAAAACAAACCGCTGAAGGTCAGAAAGAAGCTGAACAACCAGAGGAATCAGTGAACAGGTGTCTGTGTCGGTGTTTTAAACCAAAAGTCTCTCTTTAAGACGCTGCAGTTTCTTATAATTAATGTTTTTCTTCAATATCACTGTAATTTTACTAAAGTTTTTAATGCAAAATAACAGTGAACCAAAGTTTAGTGCAAATACAACACTGACAATGATAATATTAATAATAATAGTTATTGATAAATCCATGAGGCAGGTGGACAGTAGTGCAGACTGGCAGTACTTTAAATGATCAATAAACAAACTGATCAGTCACAGAGGACTGGGTGTCAACAGAACAAACTAGCTGTGACCCTAGATAACCTCACTGTTTGTTTATGAGACTTAAGGAAGAAAACAAACATTAAAATCATATTTGTCAGACAAATATCTGAACTGTGCTTTAACACAGGCGCTAAAAACAAACCTAGCTAGCAGATAACACCGTGTCTAGCTGGTAAAACGTGTAAACTGTTTAAAATTGTACATTTCAGGACAAACTTTTCTCTAAACGAGACAAACTGAGCAGCTTCAACCTTCAGCGGGTCAAAGCGGACTTTAGCTTTAGCACCGTTAGCTGCTAACTGCTAGCTAGCAGGTTAGCTAACAGCGACGTGTTTGTTTGTTTTTTTACACTTGTTTGTTTGTTTATTGTCGTTAGCAGCAGCAGAAGAGTTTGTCTCACCTCCGACCCACCGGGAAGCTCCGACAACGTGCCGTGAACCGGACAGCGACCGTAAACACCGTGAACCGGAAAGTACGACCGCGCATGCGTGAAAAGCTGTATTGGAGAGGTGGAAAAATAGCAAAAGGGATCACTCCGTCACAAATACCGAGCACCCAAGAAAAACGCTAAACCCAAATTTGAATTTACATACATGTATTAATAAGATAAGAAAAACTCTATTGATCCCTCACCAAGGAAATAAAAAAAGTAATTTGTAATACTGCGGAAAACATTCGAGACAATACAATTAATCTGCTTTCCTTAAAAAAAAAAAAAGATAAAAATATTTTTAAAAATTGAATGATAAGAAAACTAGATGAAATCAACTTTAGGAACCCCTTAGCAGGAAAATTTACAAAATAATAATAATAGTAACAATCATAATAACAATAATGTATTGATAAGTTAAAGTTTATTGATCACTCACCTGGGAAATTAACAAATAAAAAATAAAATTAATTTCTAATATTGCTGACAGTATTCGAGGCATACAATTTGCCTTTTTAAAAAAAGAAAAAGTGAAAAAAATAATTCAAATGCAGCCAAACTAAACCAGGTTTAATTAAAAAGAAAGAAAGAAAAAAATCCAAACAAGGTCACAGTTTGGAAGCATAGTTTGGAGAGAAAAACAAAACTATAAGGAAGAAGAGCAGCTGTGAGGATGTTTAAACACTGAAATATTAAGATTTAAACCTCTTTTAAGTGTCTTCAGAGCTCCCAAAGTTTAATTCTAGCAGCATGAACTCCATAACGCTTGGCAGCCTTATTCACGGTCGGTGAACTTAAATTTGGCTCCAGTCAGACCAGACATTGAAGAATTACAGTCGTTTGAAGTCATATAACCAAACTCACAACCTGTTTACCAATTTTGGATATTTAAATCAACAATATGTGCAACATTTAGGGTCATGTCATGTACTACGTTTGATTAAAATTAGAGGAAGTATGTTGTGTTTAATGCAAAAATGATTTTATTTGGCAGCAAATTTGTCCAAAATTGACAATTACAAGGTGAAATCATGTTTTGATCCATTAACTATAGGAGGAGCAGCACCTAATATTGAGCAATTCTAAGTTTTTTAAAGCTTTTAAAAACGCTTCAAACAGTGGTGATGCTCATGACTCCTCTCCAGGCTTTTAGTTTTTCAATTCAGTCAAATTTGGTTGAAACAAGATCGAGTTTCGGTGTTTATAGTAAAATAATAGTAATAAAAGTGGAGACGGCAATAGAGAAAATCACACAGCAGATTCAGGTTGGATCACTTGTTGCTGCGGAGTGATACCTCTCTAATGAATTATCTACTCTTTGACGTTCATGATGACGCTGTGAGACGTGTCGCCCTCCAGCGGCCTGCTGCTGTCACTGCACGCAAAAACAACAAGGTCATTCCATATAAAAACAACTAAATCTGATAAAAGTTCCTCCCGAGCCCCTCAGAATCAGCTGATTCTTCATCTACAGTAACTTTAGTGTGTTTATTGAAGCCATGTAGAATTTTATCTCCATATCAGGAAAATATTTTCAGAGTCACAGGCCCTAAAAATACAGAGAGGAGGGTCCAGATTTCACTTTTTATGTACGTTTTCCACCATGTCTGAGCCTCAGAACTTCATCAGTTCAGCAGACAGACACTTTAAGAGCTGAAAAACACATCTGAGTTCTGAGAAAAACTGCAACCAGATCAGTTTTACGTCCATCCAGGTGTCACAGTCTAAACATTAAATCTGTTTTTTGTTTATTTTGTTCTATAACCAACTTTGAGCATCAGTATTATGGGATGTATCATAGTTACAGCAGTTTAACGTTCCAATACAGGAAGATTTTGACATCAAGCATGTTTTTATTTTATGTCTCTGTCGTCTGTATGAAGTCATGAGGTTCAAAAATGCTGGAAAAATTAAAAAGTGCAAGATTTGGACTCATGTCTATGTACTTCAAGGGTCTGTAGCTACGAAAATATTTATAGTATGAAGGCAGAACTTTGCACGACTTCATTAAAAAAACTAAAGTTGCTGTACGAACAAGTTTCAATCAATCAAACAAACAACTTTTACTTTATAGTTTTATTTCTGTGGTTCATGAAGATGTTTTGTACAAGAGCTCGCCTCAGTTATCAAACCACTACAGGATAATAATAAAATAAATCACTCCTACATCAGGCAACACGTCACTGAACACGTTTTGTTCTACATCTCAGTCTGAATGTGTTTTTTTGAGGTTAAATATGAGTCGCTTCACACAAAACACATTAAACACAACAAAAGTGCAGCTTGGAATGAATTCACTGAATATTAATAAGTAAAACAGACGTCAGCCTGTAATCAGATGCTTTGTGAGAATTAAACCGGTAAAAAACACTTCAGGAATCTCTTGGTCTCAGTTTGTTTGCTGGTTGAATCTTCACAGACGTAAACCTACAGGACGGCATCGCGGCCGCCTTCATCCTTCGTCCACCGTGAGGTCCCAGTTCAGCTCAGGAGAGTTTCTTATCGCTGACTTCCTGCGCAGACAGGAAGTCCATGATGAGCGTGGCGGCCTTCCTCGGCCTCTCCAGCGCCACCGAGTGGCCGCAGTTGTCCAGCAGGTCGAGGCGGCAGCGAGGCAGCGCCGCCTGCAGCACTGCGGCCCCCGAAACGTCCAACACCTGATGGAGCACACAGGTGAGTCAGCAGCGAACCCGACGGTGCGTTCAGGTACAGTCAGAAATGTGCAAATATAACAGAAAAGTATGGTTTAAGCAGAATGTACAAGTGTAACCTATGAAAACAGCAACACACCTGGTGTGGTGTATTAAGAACACAATAAAGCTGCTGCTGAACATTTATGAAAATAATAACTTATAGTAAAGTATCAGTAGCTGCTTTGATGCACAACTCAGCTGCTGTTTGATGGATTAATACCCGACTTTGTGCAGACGTTCATGTTCCCCAGATGAAACGCCACAGACAGACCACTGCATGTCAGAGTTTCACTCACCTGGTCCTCCTTCCCCCAGATCACCTGCAGGGGCGACGTGATCAGATGCATGTGTTCCTGCAGCAAGTGGCGAGACTTCTCCCCGACGATCTCCATAAATACTGCAAACACACACACAAGAAAACATCTGAGGAACAGCAGAATATAAATGCGTTGTTGGGCTGCAAGGTGGATCAGTGGTTAGCACTGTCGCCTCTCAGCTAGAAGGTCGCCTGTTTGCGTCTCGGTGAGGACACCCGGGATCTTTCTGCGTGGAGTCTCCATGTTCTCCCCGTGCAGCGTGGGTTCTCTCCGGGTTCTCCGGCTTCCTCCCACAGTCCAGAAACATGTTGAGGTTATTTGATTTCCACCCCGGGGCAGTGCTCCGATGGGGTGGAAGTGGCCGGAACGCACAGGTAGTACTTGGCTGCTGATGCTAGTTTAGTTAGCGGTCACACTTCTGTTCCCACCATCGTCAGAAAATACGTCGTTTCCTTATTTGTGTCATAAAACGTCATGTTGGAATCCAAGGCTGTCGGTATGTTAAGGCTGTTTTTCATGGGTTCCGTTCGTTTTCCTAAAAACCTTTTGCATTGCAAGGTTTTCGGATTGTTAAGGGTCGGATTATCGAGTCACGGCTGCACACGCAAATCAAAGCATTTACTGAAACATCATCGCTGTCTGATCTGTGTAGAGGGAACCGTTGTGAGAGACTGATGAGGGTCAGACTCACCTTCTTTGTAGAAACCGTTGTTGGGGATCCTGTTGTGAAGGAGACCTCGCAGCACCTGACAACAGAGACACACATCCTTTAAATATTCCTAAAAATAAAAAAACATCATCAAACAGTACGAGCTGTAGAATACTTATATTTTGATGTGAGAAGGTTTTTGAGCAACTTCTTGGCCTTTTTGTCACACTTTTGCTCACACTTTTAAATATAAAACAAGAAAACTACACAAGACACGAGTGCTGTTGATATTGTACAGCATCACAGTGATTTCTATAAATGTGTAAAGTAAAGAAACATATGATTATCTATTACAAAAAAATCATTTTCCCAAGAGCCTACTTATGCTACCTAAACTGGATAAAAACATCTGTCTCTATTTACATCTTTAATTTCTTCCTACTTGCCTCCTCTCTGCTCTGTGTGAACGCTTCCTGCAGTTCATCCAATAAACTCCCTGAATTGTTGTCACATGACTGTCGGTCACAGCTGAGACACTGCTGGTTTTTTAGTTGGTGAGAGGAATGTAGAATTTTTGTTTTTTTTACAGAATCTGGTTCAAGCCAATGATTTATTTTTGGTGAATTTTTCATGAGATGTTTAGAAAAAAGTGATTTTGATGAAATATCACAAAAAGGGTGAAAACTACAGAACGGAGCGGATCGTTCCTCCTGATCCTTCAGTGTGTGCAGAACTTCTAGATGAATGTTTTTGTCCATTAATCCCCAAAAAGGCAGATTTAACAGTTAATATTATCTAATCAAGAGAACAACACGGTTTACCAGAGACAGAAACTGTAAAAACACAAACAATCGTCAGGATTTTCAACTTTCTGCCAGTTTTTTGAACTAATAACGTGTGATGCTAGGATAAACAGATTCTTTGAAAAAAAAGCTAAACATGCTGCTGTCTTTGGAGCGTGACAGAAATCCTCGGACTTCTCGGCCAAACCGCCGGCTGTGTTTATGGATATTTTGATGAATTTTTATCGCTTGACTGTTGGTCGCAGTGGAGTCCTCACTAGTCTGTCAGCTGGCCAGAGGACGGTGGAATTTTTGTTTTTTTACAGAATCTGTTTGGAGCAAACGGTTTGTTTTTGGTGAATTTCTGAATCAACATTTGGTGAATGGCCCTGATGAAGTGACAGTGAGTAGTTCAAGGACCGTTGGAAAGTTGAATTCCATCTTTTTTTCCTGTTTTTACAGATCCTGGCTCTAATTAATGGTTTCGTTTTGGTGATAACGTGTTTTTCAGACCTGCTGGTGGGCGTTGGGGTTAATCAGACGGCGGCAGCTCGGTCTCACCTGCTTGGGGAGGTTTATCGGGGTGTGACAGCAGAGCCTCAGCATGTCGTCCAGCTCCTCGGGGGTTTTGGGGATCAGAGGGATGGACTCGTTCTCCTGTGGGTTCTTCTCCAGCTCCCTCAGGCGGCTGATGAACTCGGAGTCGGTGGGATAAACCAGACCTGGAGGAAGAGGAGGAGGAGAGTCAGTCGCTCTGCTTCATCACATCAAACACGTCTGATGAGCGGCTCAGCTCACCTGCCGGACAAACCAGCGTGACGCTGCACAGGTGAGCCGGGTGACGGGCGGCGTAAACCCCGGCGACGTTCCCGCCCATGGAGGTCCCGACCAGGTGGAAGGGCCTCTTATCCAGACCGATGCTCTGCACAAACTACACACAGATTTGGACATTTTGACTTGTTTTGGCACAATTTTAAATTCACAACAGTTCATTTGACTTTTTTAATCAAATAAATACCACGTTTTTAATCCTAATTAGAGTCAGTGTTGAATTATTCAGTCAAAATCTTCCATTTTTTATCTCGTGATTCAGGCTTTTTCATTGATAATTTGGATTTTTTAACTTCTAGTCACTTCTCGTCAGCCTTTAACCAGACTCTGGGTGGTGGTCTGATACGTTTGTTAAGCACTTTTCAGAGGATTTTGACTGTTTTTTGTGCTTTTTTGATGATAAACATCAGCATATGTGCAGCTGCATTTGTTGACTTATTTAATGTTTAGTCTGCAGTGTGACATTCAACAAGTCGTTGGACACGTTGAAGGCTGACCAGCAACCTAAATACTCTACTTGACTGCTATTGTTTGGTCTGATGATGCTTTAAGAGTCGTGATGATTCTGTCTGACACCAAACCGAACTCTGTAAATCTCGTACGGACCTGGTGGATTCGGCCGACTTGACCCTCGATGCTGTAGTCCTCGATGCCGGTGCGACTCGTGCCCTCGTGTCCCGGCATGTCAACGCACACCACATGCTGGTCTGTGGGGAGGTACTGGAGGAGAAAACAAACACACCCGAGGCTCACTGACACGATTACAGTTGGTTCACACTGGAACAGCGACACACATCTGTCAGCACACGGACGGAAAGTGGTGGATTTCTAATTGTAACTGATACTCTTTTCCCACAATGCAATGCAAAGCATGAACATGCAGAGGAAGAATCCAGTGTGCATGTGCATCGATTAGAAACTAGTCGATTCCTAAAACCTCTGCTGCCTTATCATCACTTTCCCCCTAAATGGGATCATATTTCACTCAACGAACATCATTCTGTATTAAAGGAGATTTAAAACTAGTGTTTGAGACCATAAACTTGCAAAGAAAATGTTTGCTGAGGTAGCAAACGGAGTAAGAAGAAGGGTCATTTTCTCTGAGGTCTGACTCCAGAGAAGTCGCCCCCTGCTGGCTGTGAGACAGAATGCAGGTTTCACTCTGAAATATCTGCATGCAGCATGTTATCTTTATAAATATGGCCAAAATAACATAATTTATCAGAGCGATAAAATGTAAAAACAGAAAAATTCATCAGATATTTAGCTTTCCAACAGTCCTCCAACTAATCATGGGTGACTCCTGGTTCCATCTGGAAAAATCTAATCTTCAAATTGTGATATTTTCAACAAAAATCACTACATTTTACAAGTCTCATTTAAAAATTCAACAAAAATAAAGTTTTTGCTTTAAGCAGGTTCTGTAAAAACAAAAAAATTCTGCACTCCTTTGTGCAACCACAAAGCCTTTCAGGACTCAGCTGTGACTAACAGTCACATTTTTAAAAATCTGAGACTATTCGGCTGAACTGCAGGCTGTGTTGAAACAGAGCAAGTATGAAAATTAATTATGTAAGTCGTGAAACATCTACGGTATGTGAAGCCTCCTTTTTTTCAGTTTTTTAAAATATTGGTGACTGCTGTGTGGAAAAATGTTGCACGTTTCCCATTTTGGCAAAAACAAATAAATAAATAATCAAAGAAATGTCTTTTTTTTCTTCGTTTTTTATGATTTCTGGCATTCTGTGTCATAACTTCTCTCCTTCTTCTTCATGTTGTTCTGTTTCTGTTGAGCTGCAGGACTTTATATTGCAGTGAAAAAATGAGCAAACAGTGAAGAAAGGAGCAAATAAAAAGCCCAGAAACGGCATCTTGGAGGGTTAAAGTTGCAGAAACACCCAAAGTCATCATTTAATATTTTCCCCTTCGTTCCCTCCGTCGTCTTCTTGTTTATAAGAAAAGTGTTGGTATCTGTTACCTTGACGACGGGCAGCCACATGTCCTTGGTGGCGGAGAAGCCGTGCAGCAGCAGCAGCGACGGTGTGGCGCCACCTGGTGTCCCGCGGCTGGAATAACAGAAGCGGTAACTCCCGCTGTGGGAGTAGTGAACCACCAGCCCCAACTTGCGACGCATGTACCTGAAGAGGACGAGCAGAACGTCACGGAAACGCATCCACCGAGGGGATTGTGTTCAAATTAAACGTGTAACCAAGAAGATGTAGTTAATGGTAAAAACTCCACAACGCATGAAGCTCAATTTATAAACATGAAACGTCTGAAAGTTGACTCAAGTGCAAATCTATTGAACCTGACAATGTTCAACAATAAACACATTTAAAAAGGACATTATGAGATAAATAATCATGATTGTGCAATCTATAACATTTTACATTATATTTTATTATTCAATCATTCATTTAGCATCTGAGCATGACTGGACATCAAACCGCGTAACTGATGAAAGTGACGTCACGAAACTAAATCTGAAAAGAGGCTTTATGGAAAATCAGCTTTATGCCTCCAGCAACAAGTCAATCAGCAGTTTACGTCCAAACTCCTGACCAAGAGAAGATTTTGAAGGAATAACTCAATACATTCTTTGTATTTTATGGCAAAACTGAACTTTTTCAAAACGACCGATGGAGACCTGAAGCTCCAATTTAGTGAAACCGAAGAGCTTGACCGACGGACCACCACAGGAACAGATGGCTTCCTGTTATGGCTGCTATTCATTCATTCAGAGGGCGACATACTACGTCAAATCAATGATTAAAACATTCAGATGGCTCAGTATGTGCAGATCTTCTATCAGGTTGAACTGATCCAATAAAAAGATCTGAGAAAAAAACACACAGATCATCATTAACCATCGTTTAGTCCTTAAACCCCCTGGGAGGCAGGTTATCTAAAAACACAAAATGTCACCATTTATTACAGACGGAAACAGTAAAAACAGCTTTCTAACAAGACTTCAACTAACCAGAGTCACTGTTGTTTGTTCCAGTGTTGCTAACAGCTGCAGAAACATGGAAAACGTTGCTTCATCGTCTATTTTCCTCTAAATGGGATCATAATTTACGAAATGAACATCATTCTGCACTAAAGGAGACTTGAAACTTGCAACTGAGATCATAACCTCGTTAGGAAAACATTTACTGAAATAACAAACTGGGTGAGAAGAAGTACAGTCTGACTAATTACTGCCAACAGAAGAGTCGCCCCCTGCTGGCTGTTGGAGAGAACGCAGGTTGAACCATCTGAACCCCAAAAGACATTAGGTTTAAAATACAAGGTATTTTTAAAAACAACACCATTTATCAGAGCGAGAAACTGTAAAAACACAAAAAATCATCAGATTGTCACCTTTCAAACTGTCCTTTAGCTAATCATGTGTGACTTCTGATTCCAGCTGCAAAAACACATGAATCTAAGTTGATCTTTTTATCGCGTTGGTCGAGTTTAAACTGTGCTATTTTATTTTAATACTAATTTTTTCAAAAATCGTCAAAAATAAACAGTTTGCTCAAAGCAGGTTCTATAAAAAACAAAAAATTCTGAGCTCCTTGGGGCAACCTTGAAGCCTTCAGCGACTCAGCTGTGACCAACAGTCACGTGACAAAAATTCATTAACTGTTCAGTGTTTCCACAGAGCAGCGACGAGACAGTGGTAAAATATCTACAGAGTCCAAAATGTTGCACATGTAGGTTTTTCCAAGTTTTGTAATGTAAATAAAGAACTTTATTTTTCTGCTTTTTTGCTAATTTATCTATTTATAACTTCATCTTACTGCAAACTTCAATATTCAGTCTGTTAACTCCTAATTTATGGCTTAAAACATGATTTGTGAGTTCACAGTGACCTTTTTTTCTACCTTTGACCACCAAACACGATTCACTTGAGTCCTCGTGAATGTTGATTGATTTAAAAAAGAAAAAAAAAATCCTCAAAGAGTTCTGGAAACACAGCTGCTCCTGACACGGAGGCATGAAAAAATGTCAGCAGGGGAGAAAAAATACACGATCAAATGAAAGCAGAGAGAAAATCAGAGACAGAAGAAGATGTTTTTAAACTTTCTGACCGTTTTTGGGCGAATAATGTTTTGTTCCATCAGGAAAAATAGCAAAACCTGAGCTTAAAACTATGGTATTTCTTTAAAATCACTTTACGTTGCACTAATTTCAAAAGAAATTCTCCAATTACAAACCATTTGGTCAAAGCAGATTCTGTAAAACATAAAATATTTGTGACGTGACGCCTTCAGTTACTCAACAGTTAGTCACAATTCAGGGACTCGGCAGCGTTGACACGAAGCAAACACAGAATGTAAACAGTTAAAAACCTGCAGCATGGAGAGCTTCTGTGCAAACACAAACAATGAGACCTTTAAGGAAAAGACAACAGGAAGCTCATGGAGTCGACAAGTTCAGATGCTGTAAAGATGCACTTTAAATAGACCTAAACTAGTACGAGGTTCACACTGTTTGTTTCCAGTCACTCTAAAAGCTAACAGCCGGCTAGCTGCAATCACATGAAGCGGCGAGACGATTAAAACACACTCTGATGCTGATAAAGAGTGTTCGGAACAAATCACTGAGAAAAGCGAATGAGACGCTGTTCTGTGAATTTCAGATGCTTCTCTTTTGCTCTTTGTGGGGTTTCTGGAAGAATATTGGGGCTAAATTCAGGAAATTCAACTTGAAGCTCTGCTGTCTGAGTCCAGACTCGTGTTGTCGCGTCAGAAGGAATCCAGAAATGCTCCTGGAGTCGATGTGGTGAGTTTGACTTTCACGGCGCTGATTCGGGCGTGAAGTCTTTGAAACGTCATCAGATTTAAAAAGAAGGAGAGCAGCTGTGACAGAGGCTCTATTCTGCTTCTCATGTACACTCTGTTACACCAGCTTCTGATCTAATCAATGGGATTTCCTCAGCGTGACAGCATCGCGTAACGCTGAGCTTTTTCTCTCTGGGACTTTTCAAGTGCAGCATTCTGCATAAGTTTAATCCCTCATCACATCTGTATTTTTATCCTTTTTTACTCCTCGTCTTGTTTCCTGTTGTGCTTCATTTACACGTGGCTGCTGCAACACGTGGGTTTCCTCACTGACGGATCAATAAAGTTTATCTTATCTTATTTAAAAAGTAAACACTGACATTAAAGGAAAAGGTTGTTAAAATGAATGTTTTCTCAGCAGCAGGAATGTTTTCTTCCTGAAATCTCTGTTTTTGACTCAATATTTCTGAGAATAAAACACAATAAAACGTGTGTCTGAGTGCAGATGTGTGTCCTCAGTGACAAACGGTGGAGCTCAGTTCTGTCACATTCAGTCTGTTCAGGCGACTCACGTTATCTCATAAACTTTGGTTTTTCTTCCACAGAGTCGCTGTTTTGCTGCTATTATTCATCCTTAGCGCTGCTTTATTTGCTGTTTGGTTGTTTTCCGTCTTAATATTTTGCTCCGTTCTGCACAAAGCAGCAGAAAACCCACGATTACGTGACGGTGACTCAGCTCTAATCCACATGTGGTTCAGCAGCTCAGACAAAGTCCAGGACGGACGGCGTTCCTCTGCTGCACTCTGGTTCTGTACGTTTGTACCGGCAGCCGTTCAGTTTAATGCTTTAGAGGCCAGAACAACTTGTTTTAGTGATTTTTATGAGCGATTTTGTGTCAGATATTTCAACTCTGATCTGCTTGAATCTTTTCTTTATCCTAAACTTTATATCGAATCAATTTAAGGTCAAATTTGCTAAAAACTGACCAACTTCCAGCAGGTTTTTTTGTAATTCGAGGCTGTTTGAACGACAATATCTCAGAAATTATTAAAGATAAAAGATTTTTTTACTGGTATTTCTCATCGTGTCTTTAATTCAGAGTGTGTAACATCGGACACGTAGATCAAAGAGTCTCTGATTATGGGTGAGTTGAAATGTGGGAAAAAAAATGAAGCTGTCACATAAAGTTTCATATTTGAGCTCAAATTAATTTAAAAAAATGATAATGCAGAAGTCAGCCAGAGACATTCGTTGAATCATAAGCAGCTGCACGTCACCACAATACAAAACTAAATATACAGAACAGTTTTTAATGTGAAACAACTGGTCGCAAAAGTGAAAATAAAGTTATTTTTATTTAACTTTCAGAACTGATCGAGCAGGTTTGACAACAAAAACACAAAGTTCTGGAGTTTTAAAATGATTCACTGACCAAAAATATTTAAAAACAATAAAAAAAAAATATTTTGATTCCACTTCATATTTACAGAATTCATAAACTTCTTGAAGAGATGCTTGAAGATAAACTCTTCAGCAGTTAATTTATAGATTAAAAGTTGTCTGAACTTTATTCTCAACGGATCGAGAGAATCCATTTTGCTCCTTTTAAACAGTTTCCACAACGATCATGAGAATAAATTTACCACTAAAGTCTTTGTCTATATAAATTATCTTCCAGTAAAGTGTGAGAATAAACCTGATCGACTCCAGAACTGAGACAATTAATCAGATTACTCCCATTGTTGCGTCTTTTTATTGATTCTCAGCATGTTTTAGGAGATTTTAAGATTTCTCTCTTCTGACTGTTTAGTACCGTATTCATCAGGATGCATTTTGAAATCCTAGAAATCAGGTCGTCTTTTATTTGTTCCAGTTGTGTTTTTACCTCGTCCATGCTGCTCTATGTTCTGTCTTTATCCGTCTCTTAATTTCTGATGACTTCATGACTTGGCTGCCTCATGAGGCTCTTTGTAACTTTCAAACTTTCTCCACGAGTAAAGACTATTTTAGCATAATAACCACCAGTCTAACTGGTCTCTGCTGTCTTTACATGGCTCAGGTGTGTATTTACCAGTTGTAGGCCTTCAGCAGCGTTCCGGGCCACAGCAGGAAGGAGGTGATGAAGGCGACAACGGGAACCACCAGAACGCTTCCTGCCAGCATCATCGTCCTCGCCACGGTCAACTCCATCGCTGCACGAATCTGCGGATGAAGAAAAGCGTCAGAGTTTGCTCTAAACGACGCCATGAATTCATTTGTAGGGTATTTATGTTTTGTTCCCAAAATAACCAGGCACACGGGGACCAATTCAAAGCTGCTTTTGAGTTGCATCATGGGAAATGTAGTCATCGTTGTAAACGTCTGTGAAAGAACAAGAGTGTGCGGAGCTGTGACCTTCAAGCACACAAACCAGCAGAAAAAGTAGAAAAATTACAACTAAATAACAAAAGCTAAGCGTCCGTCTTCAGCCGAGTGCAACCAAGAGAGCATTAAAAAGACACATTAAGCGCCTTTAGTGGCGACACACGGACCTGAAAACGTCAACAGGAGCTAAAGTTGCTTCCAGCTGTTCAGGATCGTTTCCTCTGAGTTTATTGAAAACCTTCATACATGCATTAATTAGAAAGAGAACTGAAGGCAACACAGCTGTAAGATCACTAATTAGACGTTAACCCTGACGTGGAGACGAACATCTAACAGCCGTGGACTTTAGTTCACCTCAGACAGGTGAGTTGTGACACAGTTTATCAGCTGCAGGTAAATCATTAGTCACAGCTGGATGCTATGTCGCTGTCAAGTCCACATATTTAACTGTAAAGTCAAGATTATGTTATTCAGGGAGATCAACAACAACAACAACAACAAAATCTCATTAGTTTCCAGATATTTGCCATTATTTTAAAAAAATATATATATTTAGTTTTTTATTACACAGAAGTACAGATGATATTTAAGTCAAAGAAGAAAATGTGTTAATTTATATGACGACTATAAATACAACAACAAACTGTCCAAAACTGTACATGATGAATTCCTGACATTTAGTTTTACTTCACTTCTGTCCACCGCTATAAAACTATAATAACCATCAGGAGACAACATAAGAAGCTCCTCATTCACCCACAAGTTGTTTAAGTTTAACAAATTATCCTCACATATGTAGTAAATGGTCACTATTTACGGAAAACCCAGAATAAAGAACGACTGCCTTTTTCTTTTTTTACTTTCAAACACTCTGCGGTTGCTTTTCTTCTGGATCAGAACCAGGAGGTTCGTTAGTGCAGAATCAGAAAGTCTTGGTTCAACCAGACTCACATGACCTGAGCCGCTGCTGCTACAGTCACACTTCCTCAAATGGCTTTCCTCCTCCTGTACAAACCTGGAGATTCTGTTCGGCCCAGCTGGTCAAACGAGGCCGAAACCGGGTCAAAGGTGAGAAACAGACCGAGTCGGAGCAGGAAGGTGAGTTTAAACACCTCTGACCGACATGTTTCCTCGTTTCACCGCCAACCGGAGCTCAGCAGGTAGAACGAATCAGCTGATCAGAGTCCGGATGTGACTCACGAAAACACCGCTCAGAACCAGAACCAGAACCCCGCAGGTGACGCAACCCTTCCCCTCAGAGCTCACCTGTCTGGCCGCAGCTCCTCACCTGTCCGCCTCCCGTCCGCTCTGCCGCCGGCTGTCCTCCATCACGTCCGCCGCTGCGCCTCCTGCCTCCTTACGCAACAGTCTTTGAAGTGCGCTTAAAGGGGAACCGTGCTGCCTTCACGGACCCTCGGACATGGCGTCGTTTCAATGAAACGCGCAGCTGCTCCACTGGAGGGCGCCATCGGCTCGTCTTTAGGAAGATATGTCGGCCAAAGGTCATCCAGTGAAGCCCCAGAAATAGAAATATAACCCAAATCCAAATCTGACATGTTGTTCTGGGGGAATTCTGACCCACAAATTAATTATCGACCAAATATTAGCGTTACTGTACCTATATTTTTCACTCAGCAGATTTTGATTTCCAAAAGACCTTTATTAAATGAGCTATTAAAATTATGTATGATGATTTTGGATATAATTATCCTGGTTTTTCATACTTTAGAATCTTAATATTCAAGTTACTGATAATTTCAAACACTAATATTCAGGTTATCGATACTTTATTATGTTAACATCCATGTTATTGCTCTATTAGAACATTAAAATGGAAGTTATTAATATTTTGGTGAGACAACATCCAGGTTATTGATACTTTGATGTGTTAAAATTCCAAGTTATTGGTGCTTTAGATCATTAATGGCAGATTATTAGTATCTTGGAACATGAATAACCAGGTTGTTGATACTTAAGAAGGTTAATAGTCAAGTTATTGATCATTTTGAACATTACTGTCCAAGTTATTGATACTATAATGTGTTAAAATGAAAGTTATTGATAACTTGGTGCATTAATATCCGGGTTATTGATAGTGTGGAATGGTTATATTTCAGTTCTAGACACTTTTTATATCTGAGTTGTGATATTTTGATGTGCTACCGTCCAGGTTATGGATTCTTTCTATCATTAATTGCAGGGAACATTAACATAGAACATTAATATTTAAATTACTGGTACTTGTGTATGTTAACATCCAGGTAATTGTTACTTTAGATCCTTATTGGCAGGTTACTTAAACTTTATGTATGTTTTTGATCCATTTAGAGGGTTGACATTCAAGCTATTGGTCATTTTAAACAACAATAGCAAAGTTATTGATACACTGATGTGTTTAAATTCAAGTTATTGGTATTTTGGTGTGTTCATGTCATCATGTTATTGATGTATTACATCATTAGAGGCAGGTTAATAATATCTTCTAACATTAATATTCAGGTTATTAATACTTTGGTATGTTAACGTCCAGATTTTTGATGCTTTGGAAAGTAAATGTTTAGGTTCTTGATACTTCAGAAAGTCTAAACAAGGCCTCAAAGAATCCTACAGTGACTTTGGTTAAAGCAGCTTTTGGTCTTTGCACGGATTTCATTTGTCTCAAGCTGAAAAAACCTGTTGGTCAAATAAAAAGATATAAATCTAAATTTGACTGAAGGTTTTACAGAAACAGACACAATATGGAGGACGTTTTGTGTTCGACCACTAGATGGCGCCACAACATTAAAAATGAGACAAACCACATCAGAGACCCAACACAGACGACTGACCAACCAAGTGTTTCATCTTTCTGCAGGAATCAGCTGACAGAAAAAAAGATCTGCCAGAGAAGCTGTTCTAAAAGGTTTTAGCTGCTGATTTAAGTAAAGAAAAAAACAACAGGCTGCAATTTACACCTGAATGGAAGATATGGAAGAAACACAAGCTGGAAATATATCACGCCATAACAATTATTAGTGTAAATAGAGGTCATTCTCAACATTTTAGCACCATTTGGGCATAAAAGAATTTATAAATGACATAAAATGAGCAAGAAGTCCTTCAGCCAAACCACAGGTATTAAAATTGAGTTTTCACTGCATCTCATTCTCACAGACCCATAAACGAGCCATGAAACAAAGAATAAAAACTGTCCTCATAAGTTTATTTCATGTAAAATCCAGATTTCCTCTGTTTGGTACCACTTTATGATAACAAATAATTTATAACGTAATTCACCAGTAATGTCTTCTCTCATTCTATATATCTCAGCAGATGAAATAACAGCGACACACAGAGGAAGATGTAAATCACAGATTCCCCTGAACGCATCACGACTGTGTTGACAAACTGTCTGAAGTTCGTAGTTTCCGTTTTTTAAAGCGATTTATTTCACAGTTTTATTTAAATCCTGTAACCGAGTATCGCTTTTTTCCCGCCGTCAACGGTTTTATTTCCGCCGCTGTGCTTTAATTTTCACAGAAATCTCTGCTGTTAACAGGGGTGTTAGCCGTTAGCTCTGTTAGCTCCGGAGCTAACACAGCTAACAGACTTAGCATCATGTTTTGTTCTGTGGCGAAGCTTCTGGGTTTGTTCCTCTGTGCTGCAGCAGCAACAGCTGGGCACGAACACGGTGAGGAAACTGTAAAGTTGGTTGTTTAAAGTTGACTTCCTTGTATTTGACAGATTAATTCGTGAACTAAAACCTGCTTAACCTGTCCGTCCAGGTGAGCGGAAGTGACGTCACTGCAGCGCCTGTGCACCTCAACACATGAGAAAATCGTGAAAAAGTTTATTTATTAGTCGTTTTGTCTTAGGACATAACCTTTAATTTATTCTAGAATTTGTTTCAGGTACACAGAAATATGTATGTATGTTCTTTTCCACATTTTAATAAATTAGATAAACTTTATTGATCCCTCACTGAGGACATTGACATGTTACAGCAGCTGGATGCAGAGGAGGCACGACAGAAGCAGAAGAAGAACGACAAAAAGTACAATACGACTAAAAATACAGATATAATAAAAGTCTCGTAAAGACCTATGTAAAAGAAATGATTGACTTACATATAAATATATACATTTATTTTCCAGTATCTTAAAGGCAAAAGAAAAAATAAAATACACAATATAAAAAAACAAATCCAAAATAATGTCTGAAAACAAGTAGGATGGTGTTTATCTTATTGGATCATGTCAATATAGCTACATATCATCTCATGTGACATTAAATTTACATATCTAGAAGCGTATATATGATATGGGGAAGTTACACATGTACAGGCATGGAGGATAATGTGCCCACATTTCTGTTATTGCAGTCAAAAAACCAACGTTAACGTGATGTTATTAGACGTAAAGAGCTGTAGGAGAACACTGTTATAACTTTGATTGATCTGGAAGAGCTGTAAAGACATTATTTGGAAGCAAACTTTGATTGTTTACGAAGCGCTGCAGAGAGAAAAACAGTGTTTAGAGATTTTGTTGTACTGGAAGAGCTATGAGATGCAAACAGTTTTTAAAAAGTAGTACTTCAAGAGTTATAAAAACAGAAGAAAAAAAACAGTGTTTAAATATGTTATTGCAACGACATGTTAAAGAGTCAGACTGCAGAAGGAACAAATGACCTGCAGCATGGTTTGTAGCCCATGGAAATGAGAAATACAGTGTGTTATATTATTAAAATGTTTTCTAGCATCAATCAAAAAAATATTCACAAAACAAAAAAGTACAATTTCTGCTCTTTTGTCAATTTTTTGTAAGATGCTGCGAGGATTTTTCGACATAAGATGCTGAAAAATATTTATTTATAAAAATGCATCACTTGTGAGGATTAAGCCATGTATAGATGATGGATGGAAATGCATAATTTTAAAACGTTGATGCCTTTTTTTAATAACAAATATCGTTCTTTGGCATCGCTATGTGAACGTTGCGTCACAATGTCCGTTGCTTTTGGTCGGCTACAGGTTAGAAAATGGCGGCTGCATCAGTCCGACTGGGTTCAATGTAAAAGTTTCCAAAATCTCCCAAAAGTTCTTTCGAAGATCCCAGAATAAAAAGTGGTTTGTTCACTGAGCAGAGTTTAAATGTCAAAACGCAGCAGCACAGGACGAAGTTTCCATCTGTCGGCTTCTCTCCTGCTCTCTGTGCTCACATACACTGTAGTTTAATAGAGTCCAACTCCTACTAAAGCTGTTATCGATCACTCGTTGTTGTCAGATTGAAATGTGATGTTCTCCTCCAGGTCCAGACGTCACCACGGTGGTCGTAAAAGAATGGGATGATGTCGTCTTGCCCTGTTCAGCTGGCACCGAGGAGAACCTCGAACAGGGGCAGTTTTACTGGATTAAAGACGATAAAACGTTGGTTTTCCGGCACGGCGTCGATGTTGAGCACAACAACAGCCGTCCAGGTGAGGATGAGCCGTTCAAAGGACGGATGTCACATTTTCCGGATCAGCTCAAGTTCGGTAACGCCTCCTTATTGATCGAATTCACACCGCTTGAAAACGCCGGAAACTACACCTGCTATATTCCACATCTTCTTGTGGAACGATTCACCGTCAGGCTGGTGGTTGGTGAGTTCAAGAAGTCTGAAAACTTTTACCGGTGCAGTAATGCCACTGATAGACAGCTGAAATTGATTTTAAGTCTCTCTTTTCAGAACCAATACTCAGAGATCGATCACTGGAAATCCCAGGTGAGTGACATCGTTGATCTCCGACTCTGTAGGACTCAGAAGATGTTGTTTATGTCGACTTCAGTGAGTCGTCACCTTTTATGAATCTGAACAGAAAGAAGTGCACACCAGGTTCTACACAGAACGTATTCAACTGTCATGTGGGTTAGATAGAAGTGGAATCTGTGGAGCTCCACTATTACTTTGATGTCGCTGGTCTCTGATCAGGTTGTTGTGTTGAGGTTCATTTAATTACAGCACAAAGTCTGTATTTAGGGGAATTTAGTGGCTCTTCGTTTCTATGTAATATATCACAGGCCAAGAGTTTCCATTAGCTTCTCCTAATCTGTCCTTTAAGGTCAGATTCTGTAGGTTCTGGTCCATTGATCCCTCCGTCTAAGTATTTATCATTTTGTTCAGTTGGTACTGGAAGCAGGGGCTGCAAGGTGGCTCGGTGGTTAGCACTGTTGCCTCACAGCTAGAAGGTCGCCGATTCACGTCCCGGTGAGGACACCCGGGATCTTTCTGCGTGGAGTCTCCATGTTCTCCCCGTGCAGCGTGGGTTCTCTCCGGGTTCTCCGGCTTTCTCCCACACAGTCCAAAAACATGTTGAGGTTAATTGGTGATTCTAAATTGTCCGTAGGTGTGAATGTGAGTGTGCTTGGTTGTCTGTCTCTAAGTGTAGCCCTGTGATAGACTGGTTACCTGTCCAGGTGAACCTGCCTTCACCCTGAGTCAGCTGGGATAGACTCCAGCCCCCCATGACCCTAGTGAGGATTAAGGTGTAGAGATGATGGATGGATGGTACTGGAAGCTGTAACCAGAGAACATTTTCTTGATAAATTGTTCCCAGATGCTCTCGTGAAGCCTTTTGCCAGGATCCTTGACAACAGCGTGGACGGGGTTCTGCTGAGGTGTGAGGTTCACGGTGCCGTGATAAAGCCGACGTTGAAGTGGCTGGACGCTGACAGAAACGTCATGCCCACTGTGGACCTAGACGTCTATGAACGAGGAGGACGCTACTTCGTCTTCCTCCTCACCGCCGTGAACATGACCATCGACAACTACTACCGCTGTGAGGCCACACAGGAGGAGATCAGCCACGAGGTTTACGACGACGTCTCGGTTCCAGGTGAGACTTTTTCACCGACTGTGGACGCGAGTTCAGTTCGTGTAGTTCTGACGATGCTGCACACTGTGTTGTACGCTCAGAGTCTGATCTTCACTCGAGGCCTCTGTGATGTGTTTCAGAGCAGATGTTTGAGTCCTGCCCAGAGTTCTACGTCTGGATCGCCGTGTGGTTCTCTGGAGTTCTGAGTCTCGCTGCGGTTCTCGGTCTGGTTGCTTGTGGAAAGTGCATCAGAAAACGCATCAAGAAAGGTACGTTTAGATAATGAGTTCGACATATTTGTAGTAGCGTAACCGATACTTTGATCGTGGCAAGATGGACGTCGATCAAGGTCGTTTTTCTATTTTTTAACTGATCGGTGTCGGACAAGTCTGAAGCAGATTGTGAAAGTAGTTCACTGTGTGTGGAGTCATTTCAGGAGGACGACCACTGCAGCCCTGATCAGTGCTGCTATGGCTCCTTCTAGACCTCCTGGTCACTGCTCACACTGGGCTTCACTGATGTTTAGTTGATCTTTCCTGAATCCCTTTCCATCTTTGTGAAGTCAATTCATGATAACATTTAAACTCAGACGTGGCTTTTTATTCCACTTGTGTAGAAAAAGTTCAGCTGCAGCCTCACTGAGCCACATTAGATTTGATCCCAGCAGCTGTGTTCACAAAGCTCAAGTTATTTTAACGTCTAATGATGATGAAGTTCTTTATAATCTGTGCAAACGTCCACAATCTGTAAATAAACAACATGCCGCTGCTGCTGTTTGCACAGGTCAGATGGAAATAGTGATAAAACGGTTCTAAAGTTCATGACATTCGTGTTTATCTACTTAAAAACACATTAATCTACTTAAAGTCTCTGCACCGGTTACCTGTCGCTGCTAGAGGTGATTATAAGATCATTTTACTCGTTTATAATGTTCTTCAAGGTCCTTCATATTTGTCTATGTTTTAATGATAGATGTTTTATCTCATGTGGTGTTTCCTCATTGCATGTATTGTTTATGATGCCATCTTATCAGTTAATCCCTGTGTTTTATCGTCCTTTGTTTAAAACCCAACGTTGGGGGTTGTTTGTATTGTTTTATTGCATTTTTATTGGTTCTCTTACTGAGAAATTAGTTTCTGGAAACCATAAACCACGACAAGCCCCAATTGAGACCAGAACCTCAGAGCGATTGTTTGTTCACTTTCACACAGATGTCACAAAGGAAGAAAACAGTTTGTGTTACTACAAAAAAAATGTCAATTTCGAATAGCTGTCAACATTTATCACACAAGTTGAGCCTTTGGTGCATTTGTCTGGTGCTAAAATTGTTTTTCAAGTCGACTAAGTCATGATTTGGGCAGTGAATTCAGCATTCTGCTTTGGTTAGACCGGGTTTGACTTAAAACCTCTGGTCATTAAACGTCACATTATACTTTGTCATGTTGCCCGTTGCTCCCTAAACCCCCACAATGCTCTCTGCTTGACATGAGCTGAAGCAGTAGTGGTGGAACAACCAGGTGGTGGAACAACCAGGTGCTACAGCTAATTGGAACTGCTCGGATTATTATTATTATTCGTGCCAAAGACACGCGTTTTTGAGGCCCTAAACATACT